TGACAGTCTTGATAGTCTGGTTCTCAGTACTCCAGGGCACTGCTGATGACACACCAGCCACAGCCTAGTCCATTGGTCATGGAGGGATAGACTGGCCGTAGGGCACTTGGCTCTGGTTAATCCTACAAGTCAAAACTCTAAAAGATAGGCTGATCCAAGCTGGACAAACAACGGGAAGCTTGCCAGCAATGCTGGTTTCTGACAAAAGGTTCTGACGAAAGGTCATTGACCTGAAACATTAACTCACTTTCCTCTCTTCATGGATGCTGCCTGACCTGCTGAGTGTTCCCAGCGACTTCTGTTGTTATTTCAGATTTCCAGCATCTGCAGTATTTTGCTCTCTGGTTTCTATGCTTGTTTTAGCTGGTTAAATTCCAACAATAATTTAACGTGCACTCTAGGCTTCCCAAGTCTTGGCTCTTGCCAGCCTTTGCCTAATATTCTGCGAATTAGGCAAGCAGGGTGTGTCCTCCAGGGAACGAGTGCGCATTCCATGCCAGAAATAGCAATTTCCTTGTGTAGGTAGTATACATGTGTGGAATTCAGGATACTTTTCAGCTTCTGATGGGTTTCTGCATAACTGTGCTTAGGACAGGAACCTGGCTGACCAAAAAGAATTAAGTTGGTTAGTGAAATGAATTGTCAGTTGATAGTTTGTTAAGATTGCTTGGTAGGTTTGAAATAAGCCAATGAAAAAACTAAGGTATCTGAGGGAGCCAAACATTGGATCTGGTCTTGTTAATTGATGCAATTTTTTAAATGCCAATTTAATTTCAGCTGTGAACATAAATATCTGTTGTGATTGCCACATAAAGATTGCACTCTTAAGCAAATGCAGGTCAACAGCTTTCCAAGGTTTTTCTGCTTGAAATCTAAAATGGTGACCGTGCTAATTTCTGCTTTAGAGTGTCAAACTGTCCTGAAACTTGGCATTATAATTGCCAGAACTACTACTTAAAGTGAAGTATTGTTGAAATTGAAAAAAATGTCTTGGGCATATAGGTCTTCAGTTCTGTTGTAGATCTTGTGAGAGTTAAGCTCACAGCAAGTGCACCTCAAATCTGCCTGGAATGCAATGTGAGTGCCAAGTTGCTCCCACGTGTTTATGAATAGTTTCTCTGTGGTGCTTGTTTTGGCAGTCAGCACAGCTGGTTTCTGTTGGGTCAGATGTAAGAGCTGGAACAGTGATCAATGCTAACAAGTGCTGTTAAACAATACAGTAGTTTATTCCAAACTGATGGTTGTGGGTTTGAAGTTTATTTTTTCCTTAAACTATTAAAAGTTGTGTTCTCACGGGGTATTATATAGCAAGATGCAGTGATTTCCGAGTTAATGAGTTGCCTACATGGACCTCCAAACTCAACATTTCCAAAATTCCTGTCGCTGACTGCATCTCTCCTCTCCCATCTCATCGGAGCTCAGTGGTTAGAGCACTCGCCTTGCAAGCGAGACACCTGGGTTCAATTCCAGGCAGGGCGAAACCTTGGGCAAGTTTCCTTACTCCACACACCTAATAATAATCCCTCCAAAACAATAATAAATTGTTCATTTTCAATCCACGACTGTTTGTGGGACACTGCTCTACGCAATTGGCTGCTGCGTTTCGCCCACAAATAACTGGTCACTTTACAGCATATTCTGTGAAGCGCTTTGAGATGTCTAGAATTCATGAAAAGCGCTATATCAAATGCAAGGATTATTATTATTTGATCATTCTCTAATTGTAATTTATTGCACTTTTAACTTTTATTCCCCAGTTGGTGGAATGCAGGGAGGGAGTTGGTGAATGTATTGGGTTTTCAATTAAAACTTTTATGAACTGTTAGTACAATTCATTTATATTGAGTTTGTAAGGCATATTATATTGACTCCCTGTACCATTATTACTCTGATTGTATTGGACTAGAAGCTGAGAATCCTATAACATAGAGGTTGAAGCACCCAAAGTAAGGTTTATTGAAGTCTGAGCTAATATGCTCTACGTGATGTATAGAAGGCCGTTTGGCCCATTAAACATGCTGCTAGTTCCTCCATATGATCTGAGTACTCAAAATCTCAGTTCTCTCCACGTTTTTCCCAATTCTCTTATGTTCCTCTTCAAATGTTTTTTCTTTTTTAATTATTACAAGAGATATGATTGAAGCAGCCCTTCGGCTCATTATGTCTTACCTTTATCACCTCAAACTAAGTAGCCACTTGGGCATAGTATTTCATATTCTAATAATTCTCTGTGTGAAAATTTCTTCCAACATTCTCAAGGCAAATTCTCAGGCAATAATTGGACAAATTCTCAGGTCATAACTGAACCAAACACTGGAGGAAGTAAAGAGAATTTGGGAATCTCTGGCTGTACGATATTCAGAGTATAGTAGTCTAGTTTATGTGGAGAGTAAATGTAATTGTTGTTTCAGCTGTTAGTACAGTTCCTGCCATTTTAAATTCTGAAGGGTCTTCATGGGTTGCGTTGTGTAAAAAAAAATCAAACTTTTCAGTGTGTGTTTTCCATTTTGTTAAATCCTTGAAGCTATAGCTGTTCGAGTTACATAGAATTGCATAGAATACACAGCACAGAAACAGGCCATTCGGCCCAACGGGTTTATGCTGGCGTTTATGCTCCACATGAGCCTCCTCCTGCCCTTCAACTAAACCTATCAGAATAATCTTCTATTTCTTTCTCCCTCATGTACTTATCTAGCTTCCCCTTAACTGCATCTATATTTTGCATTCTATATAATATATAACACTTTGACCTCTTCTCTTGCTTGAAACATGCAAATGCATTTCACCCCTTCAACTAACTCCACGGCAGAAGGATGTATTTTTTTTAAAAAGGTTTGACTCTTTCCTTTTCTTAACACCTCACCTTTCTTTCCCTCTCCCTTTCAGCATGGATCTTTTGCTACTACACTGAGTTTTGAAACTGAGATCAGATGAATATCTGGGCAATCTAAGGAATTGTGTTGATTGATGCTTGTGGATCATATAGACTTAACTGTTTTTATAAAATTCATATTTTTAGCAGGATATTCTTTTTGTTCTTATTTACAACTGGTGTATCAACTTCTAAAACTGCACAATTTTTCAGGGGATGGTGTGCTATTTTGCCTCAGTCAGCTGTCTTGCTTCCTCACTGATTTGCATTCTTCAGAGATTGGTGTTCCCTTTCAGAGAAGAGATTAAATTGCAAAATTGTCAAACATATTTTGAGTTCTTGATCTGAGAAAAACAACCTTTTTGGTCTCAAATCTGATACTTGGAGAACTTTGTGATTGAGTTTTGTCCATGATTGCGCATGCCATTTTCTCTTGTGATTGCATACTTCCCTGTGCAGGTGATGCATACGTGTAGGATGCAGGAATGCAAGACCAGTCAACCCTACATCTTGACACATGAGCTTCTGGTTGATATAAATATTTTTGAAAATACAACAAATCTTGATGTTTTATTGATGATTTGGTATCTGTTAATTATACAGAAAATGAATTGCTATATAATCTATATTGCTTTATCTTGTGTGTTATTGTACTAATATTGATACAGTGCTTAGTTCAGTGAAATGCAAGTGTAAAGAATGTGTTACAGCAGCTTTTCATTTCTTACAGCAAAGCCAAATTCGTTCTGCCTTTAACATTTATTTATGCACCATGTCACAAGGAACATGGGGAGTGGGTTAGTCTTAAGTTACCGGCTCTCAATAGCTCCTGTTAATTATCATTCCATACCACTGCTGGCATGTGTACAAGGAAGTAGTGAGCTGGCCTCCAGATACCTCCAGAGCTTTTCTCTCAATAGTGATCGGCAATAGAGAGAGCTGAAACTCTTATTGTAATTGAATGGAAAGAAGTTACTGTAATTGGTGCTGATGGATTGTGGGTGTTCTCTCTTTCCCACTCCCCCTCTCAGATCTTACAAAATGCACGAAATGGTAGGTAGGAAGAAAAATGGATGTGAATGGTGAAAAAAGAATCTAAAGACGTACAACAATTGAGTCCTGTAGCTCAGTGGTTAGAGCACTCGCTTTGCAAGTGAGAGACCTGGGTTCAATTCCAGGCAGAGGGCGAAACCTTGGGCAAGTTTCCTTACTCCACACAGAGCCTATAATAATCCCTCCAAAACCAAAAACAATAATAAATTGGTCATTTCCAATCTACGACTGTTTGTGGGACATTGCTGTGCGCAATTGGATGCCGCGTTTGCCCACAAATACACAGTCAATTCACTTTACAGTGTGTTCTGTGAAGCGCTTTGGGACGTCCTCCCGACATGAAAAGCGCTATATCAAATGCAAGGATTATTATTAATGAAAAACATTATGGTTAAATAAGGAGAAAACTGTACTGAAGCTATGAACAATGGTGGGCAGATGCAAAGTGCTTTAGTTTTGAACAAGAGAGGCAGCAAATAGAACCAATGGAATGCGTGATCCATTCGGTGAGTTTTTTCACGTTGGTGTTTGCTCCTCTAGGAATCCATCAATCCTAGTCTCAATTCCCAGCTCTTTTCCCTGTACTCTCTAATATACTTCCCCTGCATATGCTTGTCCAATTCTTTAAATGTCCCAACTGACTCTGCTTTGACATGGCATGGATGAATGACTGTAAACCACTTTTTTTTTATGCCCTTGATCATCTTTCTCCTCCTCCACCCCTCTCGGCTCCCACCTACAACTCGGGTGCCAAGCCAGGATTGTTGACTACATCGTCAGGATTTGAACTCGTAATCTGGATTTTAATTGCCATTCAGTGGGATTTCTGCATTGTTGGCCGGATGGTCATTGAACATTCCATGGCACAGTTTCAAAGTACAGGATGTTAACCATTTTGTTAACGTGGCATGTGCCATTAAAAGCACGAAGTACATCGAAACTTTACCAGTGTTTCTTACTAGTAAACTGTACAACAATAGAATGAATCTACACTTTGTAGTTTTTTTGAATGTAATAATACTGTCATTATTAATAATATAATTTTTTNAAAGAACTGCTCTGGTTTATTTTCCAGGATCTGGAGTTCCATGGTGTAATGAGATTTTATTTTCAAGATAAAGTAGCAGGCAATTTCGCAACAAAATGCATCAGAGTATCCAGTACTGCTACAACACAAGATGTCATAGAAACACTTGCAGAGAAGTTCAGACCAGATATGCGAATGTTGTCCTCTCCAAGATATTCACTTTATGAAGTCCACGTTAGTGGTGGTGAGTTCCTTGATTTAAGAACTTTATTTTTCAATAAATATATGGAGCGATACTATGGACTGAAAATTCTGCTGAAGAACATCCCAAGGCACTGGACAGTCTAGAGCTTTCACCTGAGCTGGAGGGGGAGGGTTGAGGCAAGAAAAACTGTACGGATTGCAGCTGTTCTGCAAACCTTAAAGACCCATTAGTCCTATAAACTTATTTGTCCATGATATTGAGTTCAGGTTCGACACTATCTCAAGCCCTTGATTTCTGTTGATATTGTAATCCAGCAGCATAATTGGCATTGAAGGATCTAGTCCTTCTCTGGGTATGCTTTGAGAAGGTGAGCTCTGCTGTTAAAGAATAACTGTTATATAACTCTGCTGTTATAGCACCTATAACGTCAAACGACTCAAAGTGCTTCACATATTAAGAGCATCAATTGTAGGCTCAAGTAATCTGGGGAAGGAGGTTTTTAACAGTCAGAATGGACTCTTGCCTAACAGCAGAAGTGCAAAGAGCTTTGAACAAAAGAGCTTCAAAGGTAATCTTGCATGCAGTAGTACATATAATTTTCCATTATTTCATGAAATGAAGTGTTGCAAATTGTGTTTACAGAGGAACGAAAACTTGATCCAGATGAAAAGCCTTTGGTTGTGCAATTGAACTGGAACAAGGATGATAGGGAGGGAAGATTTGTTCTGAAAAATGAAAATGCCTTCCACCCACCAAAGGTAAATTCTGCAGAAAACCTCTAAGAACTTTGCTAAATTCAAAGATCCTCTAGCTCAGTGGTTAAATGCACCACGTGGTATTCTGAGTGATAGAGTAGGGAGATCCAGATTGAACATTTCTTCTGTACTGAATTAATTCTCCTCAGCCACATGGTTGGTGGTAGTTGGATATGGGGATTGAACTGCCATTTGTCACAGTACACTTGCACAAGGGATTAGAGTTGGTGAAGAATTTCTCCTTCTGATTGTTGTTGGTGAATGGGTGGACTTTAGGTGAAGACAATAAGGACTTCAGTTCTGTTTCTCCTTTATTTCAATATTCATGTAACACTTGCTGCTTAAGCACACACACGAAACAAGGTTTACTAGTGATGTAAATTGGGGCTGCCATTTCTCCTGCAACTGTACTGCAGAATTCAGTTAGCTTGAAGTGGGAAGACAAGGTGAGAAAATTAGGTGAAACCTGTTCAGAGGAATTGCGCGGGATCTCCTGGAGTTGAATTTTTTTTATATTTATGTCTTAGTTTAAAATAAATTATTATTCATAGAAGTATCACTTGTGTGCCCTTGACTTTATCTTTAAAACTGGTTTCCTGTGTTTGCAAAAGATCACCCCATCTTAAATATACTTTTGTTCAATTATAAAATTCTTTATTTGTTCAGTAATGAGAATGAAGCCTTGATATTCTAGGAATACATTTAATATATTTGACCCAATGGAACTGATGGCCTTAATTGTGGTGTATGATGATTTTTGACATTCTCTCACAATTGATTATTGCAGAGGGGATACAAATTATTTTCACATCTGAAGATTTAGTTAGCTGACTCGTATCGTATCTGAGAATGTGGTAGAGCTATTGAGCGATGTAGTGTATTGATTGAACTAAAACAGACGATGGTTTTCTGTTTTTAAAAAAAAACATGTTATTTAAGCAGTTGTAATACTTATTTAATTGCAGAAGTCTCAGAGCAACGGTCCAGAGAAAGAGGGAGTAATCCAGAATTTTAAAAGGACACTCTCAAAGAAGGAAAAGAAAGAAAAGAAGAGGAGAGAAAAGGAAGCATTAATGCAAATACAAGATGGTGATGAGAGGTCTATTTCCAGGGATGACGGGTAAGCAATTTGGGGGTGAAAAAAAGTGGTGTATGGGGGCGAAAAAAGAAAAGCAACTTTCTGTTAGATTAAAGGAATCTGAGAAAAGGCTCAAAAGGTTTGAGTCTTCCATTAGTAACCGCAATACAGAATATAATCAGCATGGAAGAAATGATAGAAATTGTTTAGATTTGCATTGAATATACCACCTCTATTGGGTGGGAAAACACAGAAATGGTAGATTCAGTTCCAAGGCTAACTAAAAATAGCAAGTTTTTTTAATAAAATGCAATGAGCACAATGGTTTATTTTTAATATGAGAAATGTAATGCCTCACTGTTGATTTTTATTTAATTTTAAAAAATGGCAGAGTAGTTGACATCCCACTCATTTTACCTAACTTGCAATTACATCTCTCGACACTGATGCAGCAGGAAGGAATAAAAACTTCTGTAGAGATCTGAAATTGAAAGGTTGATGGCTCATGAACGAAGGTGTGGTCCTCACTTTTTGAAATGTTTCACATAAAATGAGCAAGATGGATGTCGTCTGCTGCTGTACAGGAAATCTGTAGTTTTTGTTCTGGAATGGCTTCAGTAGAGCAGGATAATGAGCCTGATGCACACCCTGTCTAAATGGTTTCAGATTAAATGAAACCAACACAAGTTCATTCAGTACTCCCATCATTACAGCTGTAGTATAACTGCAAGTTTTTTTTACATTTCATAGTCTCTCATAATATGTCATTGTAGAACCTGTATTTGTGTCCTAGAATGTTTGGATATTATGAGCTAATCTTTACTTTGAAAATCCAGGTATGGATTTGGAGGCGAGTCCTATGAAGCAAAGTGTAGCTAAATTATAATAAAGACATGATACTATAATGCATTTTTGGCTTCAGCAACACCTAAAGTAATTTGGGTGATTTCAAGTTTTTAATTATCCCGAGACTTGAAGTGTATGTTTTGAGGATTCTTTTTGGGGTGAAAGTGTCTCAAAATAATGACAGGTATTCTACTAAAGTGCAATGTGGTGTTAGCACCTACAGTATTAATTATTAGAGGGGAGAAATAAATAGAAATTTTGAAAAGAAAACTGGGGTGGGGGGGAGAGAATAGAAAAATGCTAAAATTTAGCTGCTTCGTGGGAGTTCAAAAAGATTGGTAGGAATACAGTGGCTGAAATCTTGGTATGCCAAAGAATAATGGGATGCAAATTAAGTTTCACATTAACTCACCGACCCTCAACTGTGGTCATGCCCTCGACCTTGTTATGACTCACAGCCTTGACATTTCCGACCTTAGCATAGTGGACAAGGCTATCTCGGACCACTTTCTCATCTCCTTCTCCTCTCACATCCTTCTCTCCTCCACCAAGCCCTCAACCATTCTCTACCGCCCATGGAAAAGACTACCTCCTGAAACCCTCACAAAGGCCCTAGCATCCTCAAATATCCTATCCCTCTGGCCTTCCACCCACGGAGATCCTGAAGCAGCCCTATAGCTGCTCTATGATCGCCTCTCTTCCACCTTCAACTCCCTCGTCTCCCTGAAATCTAGGACCGTCTCCAAACCCACCCGATCCCTCTGGTATAACAGTCATCTCTGCTCCCTAAAAACCCAAATCCGGCTGCTCGCGCGCAGATGGCAGAAAACTGGCCTGACAGCTCACCGCCAATTGTGGCTTGAGCATCTCCACAGCTATCGCCGTTCTTTGACGCGTGTGCGAAAACGGCCTTCTACTCCCAACATCATCTTGGAGGCTAAAAGCAATCCCCAAATCCTTTTTCCCACCATCCACTACCTCCTCTGTGCCCCCCTCAAGCCTCCTCAATCTTCATATCTAATGCCAAGTGCGAGGAGGTCATGGATTTCTTTTTATCCAAAATACACAACATCCGCCAGGCAGCCTCATCCTCCTGCCTCTTGTCACCCCCACCACCTCTTCGTCCCCCTCACCCTCCCCATCATCAGCTCCTACCACGACCCCCATCCTACATTCCTTCCTCCCCGTCCCTCCTTCCTCCCTCTCACCCACCATCACCTCAATGAAACCCACCACCTGCTGCCTTGACCCCCTCCCCACCAACTTGCTGGTCACCCAGCTCCCCCTCCTCTGTCCACTACTGGCTGATGTCATCAATCAGTCCCTCTCCTCTGGATCAGTCCCTTCCCCCCTCAAAACTGCTGTCATCACCTCCCTCCTCAAAAAAACTTTCCCTCGATTCCTCAAACCCTATCCAATACCGCCCTATTTCTAACCTGCCCTTCCTTGCAAAAGTCCTAGAAAGCGTTGTTGCCAATCAACTCCGCGCACACCTCTCCTCCCATTCTCTCTTCGAGCCCCTCCAGTCTGGTTTCCGCCCACAGTACAGAGACTGCGCTTGTGAAAGTCACAAATGACATCCCCACAAATGACATCTGTAACCAGAGCTCCCTCTGCCTCCTTGTCCTCTTGGACCTCTCCGCGCTTTCGACACAGTCGATCACGCCATCCTCCTCCACCGCCTTTCCTCCGTCATCCACCTCAGTGGGACCGCACTCGCCTGGTTCGAGTCCTACCTCACAAACCGCCAACAGTATATCTGCATAAACGGCTTCTCCTCCCGCTCTCACCCGGTTATCTGCGGGGTACCCCAAGGATCCATCCTGGCCCCCTCCTCTTTCTGATCTATATGCTCCCTCTTGGAGATATCATCCGCAGATATGGGATACACTTCCACATGTATGCGGACGACACCTAACTATTTTTCCACCTCTCTTTGTGACCCCCAGTCTGTCAGTCAGTCTGTTCTGTCAGCCTGCCTGTCAGACATCAGGAGCTGGATGAGCGCGAATTTCCTTTAGCTGAACGAAGCCATAATCTTTGGCTCTCATCAACGTCTAAAATCACACTGTTCTCACCTCTTCCACCTACCCGACCTCCCCCTAAAACTCTCCGAACCCGTTCGCAACCTGGGCGTCAGGTTCGACTCCCAATTATCCTTCCTCCGCCACATCCGGTCCCTCACCAGCACTGCTTTCTTCCACTTCCGACGCATTGCCCATCTCCGCCAATACTTCACTCCAAAAGCCACTGAAACCCTGGTCCATGCCTTTGTCACCTCTCAGCTGGACTATTCAAATGCCCTCTTCGCCGGTCTCCCCTCCACTACCATTCATAAAATCCAGGTCATACAATACTCTGCCGCCCCCATTCTTACCTGCACCAAACTCTGCTCCACGATTACCCAGTCCTTGCCAGACTGCACTGGCTGCCTGTCCCAGAAAGGATCGACTTCAAGATCCTCACCCTTGTCTTCAAATCCCTCCATTCCTCTGCACCCCCTACCTCTCTGAACTCCTCTCTCCTCACAACAGTGCCCGTTGCCTTTGCTCCACTGGGTCTGGCCTCCTCTTTATCCCCCGAGTCCTCTACTTCACCATCGGCGGCCGTGCCTTCAGCCACTATGCCCCAAGGCTCTGAAACTCCCTTCCTCACTCCCTTCGCCTCGCTCCCTCCCTTCCCACTTTCAGGTCTCGGCTGAAGACCTTTCTTTTCAACCACACCTTTGGTCATCTTCCTCCCCCTCCCCCTGGCTCGGCCCCGGGATCCGTTACTGTGAAGCGCTCTGAGACGCTGTCCGGCATGGAGGGTGCTATATAAATCCAAGTTGTTGTTGTTGTAAATTCCTGCATACTGAGTTCCCTTCTGTTGTGTTGGTGTGGAAAAAGCAACAGCTGTGGTCCAGTTGCTTTCCCAGGAGGAGAAACAAAATTGATTGCTCTATATTGCTGTAATCCAGAATAGATTGCTCAGAGCTATAGCTTTGGAGAGACCAGAAAATGAAAGTTTGCCTTCAAATTAAGGAGGACCCTGCTATAAAATACCATGCTTGAATGCGAATTTGCTTATAATATGGGTATCCTGTGGACCTGCAGTTGCCAGAAGTTGGTATGCTTCTGGCATAGATTGACCAGTTTCCTGTGCAGGAAGCCGATCGCCTGTGTAAGCTTTACTTGAGCTAGAAATGCTTGTTTTTTTTAAAAAAAGGTTAGCTAACTTCCTGCTTGCAATGGCCTACTCTGCACTATTTGTGACTTCAGCAGCGATCTGTTGACCTGGAAGTGGGAGCGGTGGTCACTTTTATTTTTCACATGCCTAGTCTGATGCAGTTTCTAATTTTATGGATCCAAAACTATGTTCCAGTCAGGTCATTCTATATAAGGGTGTTAATGTTGCATTGATACTTCCAATTAAGCCAAAATAGAGAAAAACTTGGCTCATTGCATTTCACCCACAAAATACAGTCAAATACTTTACAGTATATTGTGTGTAGCTCTTTCAGTTGTATTGACGATGTGATAAAGTGCTGTATCAAATGCAAGTACAGTGTAATCCGCTTTTGCCGGACTCTGGACATCAGTTAAATCTTAACAAAGCACCTGGCCCTAGTTCATTTGTATACTTATCTTTTAAATATGCCGGTTGATTTGGATGAAAATCCGGTTACACCAAGCAAAATGCCGCGCTGGTTCCCGCTGAATGTACTCTCGGGTCTTCTGTGTGTTCATTCAGCCACGAGGGTCTCCGGGTTGTAGAGTGGAGGAGTCTAATTGCGATTGGCAGCGGGCTCCAGTCATTCATAAGTGGGTGGAGGTGGGCTGTCAATCAGTGGGGGAGGCGGAGGAATGGGGAAGAACAAGGAAGGAAAATCGCGATTGATTGACAGCTGAGCTGCTTGTGAATGGGTGGAGTACATCGATTCACAAGCGGCTGTCAATCGCCTCAATGCCACTGCTAATTGTAGCTTAGTGGTTGGAGCATTCACCTTGCAAGCAAGAGGACCTGGATTCGATTCCCGGGTGGGTCAGGGCGAAATCTTAGGCAACTTTCCTTACTCAATACACCTCTGTTTACCTAGCAGTAAGTAGGAACCCAGTTGTTAGGCGATTGGCGGATCGCTTTTCCGGGTGTAATAATCCCTTCAAATAAAAAATAAACATAATAATAAGTTGCGTCACTCAATCCACAACAGTTGTAGAGCACTGCTCTGCAGAATTAGCAGCTGCGTTTCGCCCACAAAGTAGACAATCAATTCACTTTACAGTATATTTTGAGATGTCTCAAAGACTTGATATGGGGTTATATATAATATTAGGATTATTATTTCAGCTAATGTCCACAACAAAACTACATTTATATAGCGCCTTTCACATTGGGAGGATGTCCCAAGGCGCTGGACACCTTAAGTCATGCAAAAAGTCCTTCCCCAATGTGTCCGGTTTAACCGGCTTCCACTATATTGTTATTAAATGGATTGGCAGATGGCAGATATTGGGTAGCTGCAATTGGAATATGGTTGTGTTACTGGGGCCCTGTTTAGGTAGAGTACAGTGCAGTTTCAATAGGATGTTATCAGATATGAGATGATTGACTTATGACAGAAGCTTGCTCAATTGGGGCTTTCTCTATAAGCAGGGGAGATTACAAAGTGATATGGTTGAGGTCTTTCTTAGGTTTGACAGGGTGTGACGATGTAAAAAGGGAAAACCTATGTCTTTTTATTGAAGAGGGGGCAAAATCTTAGGATTGTTGGCAGAAAATTATGGGAGTTTAGAAGGAATTTCTTCATTTAAGAGTTGTTAGGGTTTGGGATCATTACCAAAATGGCTTGAGGCAATAAAATCATTCAAAATGAGACTAGATAGGCACTTCGGCCGTAGTACTATTGTGGGGAACTATATGGGGAAAGCTGGAAACTAAGATTGATATTGAAGGGTGACTTAGAAAATTGCGTAGGAGCACATACCTTTTTTGTGCAGAAAATTTCTGTTCGTGCTGTGTACTTTTGAGACTACCACACACCTAAAAAGAGAGCACAATACATTTGTGTATCTTAAGATCTTGTGCTCGCCAGTGCACATTGCTGTTGCTTTTATTGATTATATTCAAACAGTTTGTTTCAGAAGTTCCCTTTATTTTTTGTTCTAGTAAATTTTGTTGAATCTCTGGCTAACTTTTTTCCTCTGTCCTTTTGTTCCCCAACCAAAACATTTTTGAAACTTTTTTGACCTATAGTGAATACTCAAGTTCACATCTGGCAGCAGAGGTATACAAAGATATGCCAGAGACTAGCTTCACCCGAACAATATCTAACCCTGAGGTGGTTATGAAACGCAGGCGGCAACAAAAGCTAGAGAAGAGAATGCAGGAATTCCGTAGTGGTGATGGACGACCAGATTCAGGTAACTTAAAACTATTCGCGTTTTATTAGTTGAGTTATACACACAGGTTTCATTCCTTCTGAGATACTTGAACCATCATTTTACCTGTGGAACAACAATTTCAGTGGAATGTATAGATGTGAGGGAGAGATGTTTTCTAGGTATTCTACTTGGTTCTTTTAGCTAAGCAATTTGTTCCTTAGTGTTTTCTTTTGAATTGGGTGTTTTTTTCAGTTAAATTTGTGGTATTTAATATTTATTTTCTAATAGTGGAGTAGCTTTATTCCTGAAATGTTTGATTTTGACATCACAGTGGATCTAAAAATAAAGCAAAACTATTCAGTACTGTGAGATATAAATTTCCTTGAACCTGTTTGAAGTTTTATGTTAAGCATGAAAAGAGATACATACAAGTTTGATCTAAATACTTTTTATTTGGGGATAGGTGGAACTCTTAGGATCTACGCAGATAGTTTAAAGCCAAATATACCATACAAGACAATCTTGCTGTCAACAACCGACACATCAGATTTTGCTGTTATAGAAGCTCTTGAGAAATATGGACTGGAAAAGGAAACCCCAAAGGAATACTGTATTGCACAGGTATGTTTGGTTTCTGTTCCTTGTATTTCTCATTGTGTGTGCTAGTGTATTGTGCTAGAATAGATTTGTTAAAGTATCTTTCAGTGTTTGTTTCTTGTCTGCTGGATGTCATACCCATAAAAATCCATTGTTGTGCTCTTAAGTTTCTTAAACCAAACTACTGAGTTCCACACATTTAAATTTGTCTGGAATGGAGTCCACACTCTCCCAGGAGGAATGTACTCTTATATATTCCTGTGGAGTATAGGCTCAGGTTGGACTCCAGGCTTGGGGATTCCAGAGTATGAATTGGGTTTACTGCTGGAGTTTAACAAGCTAAAACTGGCAAGACTCTAGTTAATGCCTTCCAGCAGCTGTCATCAATGCTTCTGTTGAGGAAGTTTCCAAGCATTCAAAGGAACATTGCTTTGATCAAAGAACCTTTGCACAAATTATTTTATAATCCTATGAATTAAATTTTCCAAATATGTCATATGCCCATTAAAATGATTTGATTTGATGCGTGAGATTTTTATTTCCCTAAGGTGATTGTGTACTTTCTTTAAACCTTACTACTTATACCATGCTCCCCTTGGTAACATCCTTTCTGGGTACCAGAGATGCAGTAATCTTTGAATTTGATATAGCTTCTTTCGGGAGAACATCTCAATGCACTTCACTGGATTCCGGTCAGTGAGGCAGGCTGTCTGGCTATTTTTTTAAAAAATGAAGGATATTGTTTTATAGCAGTATTTGTAAGCTCATATGAAACAATTGATTCATTTTTTCAATGAAAAATATTTAGATTTTAAATAGCTACATTTGATTACAAAGCAGCATTGTGCCCTTCAAATGCTCCCTCCTCAACACTTCATTGAACTGAGTTCAAATTCTCAACATGGGTCTTAAACTCACATACGTCTGACTCCCAAGGTGCAAGTGCTACCGAGACAGGCTAACATCACAAGGTTTGCATTTAATGTAAAGAAGACTACTATTACTGCAGCATCTGAGTTTTACAGACAATAATATTCATTTATGCATTAAAAACCCAGTTATTACATAGTGTAATTACCAGTTAAACCATAGGAATTAAAGTTCAAGCAGCTTTTAACTGACAGTTTGAACCCTGAGATGAAGTTACTGCCTCGTCATTATTCTTAGCTATTTCTGGTTTGTAACATTCTGTGGAGTTCATGGGTGAAGTTTTTTTTAAAAAAAAACAGCTGCAGAAGTCATAGTGATCATTCAATAAACAGGCGCTTCATGCAATTGAAACTAAAGGATTAAATATTAGGACCATTATCTAGAAATTTGCTTTAAAAAGCAGATTAAATTGATATAGGGAGAAACAAAAGGGATTAAATGTCATCAGACCAAAAACAAATTTGCCCATTTAATTTGAGTTTCGGTATTGAACGATACTTTGTCTGGGCAGCCAGTCTCAACAGTGTGCTGGATAGAGTTGCGTTTTACCACCAGGAGCCGACTGGATTCATGCTGAGTTCCTGCTCCTCGTCCTCCAGCACCCTCTATTGGTAGTAGGTAGCAGCTGAGTGAGGAAAGGTTCAGGCTTACTGTGGTTGCTCTCTATTGTGACCAACCAGATCTTTTCTGAGCTGGACCTTTTTTTTGAAAAAATAGTTTGGTATTTTGAGGATCTGGGAGGAGGGTTAAAAAGAAAACCAGACATTTCTGTGGTGTGCTTGAGTTGCTTCTATCTATGGGTGAACTGAAAATATAATTACAAAATCAACAAGCAAATCATTTTGATTATAATAATAATGGCATTGATCTAGCATTGTTAAGGCAACAAAATGTCTCAATGCAGTTTCAGGAATTACTGTAAAGTGTAGTGGCTCTGTATTTGAAGGCAAACACAGCAAGCAAATCCCACAAACAGCCTCATGCTTGTATACACAATGGAGAAAAAAGAGCACACGACAGACACTCAACTTTGATCCCATGTTCCTCAAATTTCTCCCTTAAGAGAAAAAATACAGAATTCTGTGATGGCCACAAGAATGAGGAATAATGTCCTAATTGACCATATAGTTGAAAACTGTTCTCGTACCAGAGATTCTTCCCAGTCGGCTCCTGTTAATTTTGGAAACCAAAGTCTTAATAGATAGGGAGTACTAAGTTGGGCAAGCAGTAGGAAACTGACCAGCAGTCCCCTCAATGGTAAGCTTTGTGGTTTTATTTAAACTTGAGCAGTACCCCAATGAACACTTTGCGTCCCCAGGCCTTGGCTCTTGCAAACTTGTGCTTAATACTGGCTGGAATTAGGTACATAAGTGGAATTCTTTCTGGTTTGAATACTCTTAAGCTTGGTAATGGGTTTCTGCATCGCAAAAAACCTGCCTAATTCAAAAAAAACTGGATCGAGATTTTCGTTTTATAAAAAATTATTAGAATAAATATGGACATACAATTTTAAAATAGGAATTCATAATAAACCAATAGCAGGAACATCACTGGATAAAAATGTTATCCATAGTTTTGTTTCACAAAAACAAACTCCACTGACCTGAGAAAATGCAAAAAACAAGTTGGGCGGCTGAGCTGGAAAAATCAGTTTAGATGACACCCTGCATTTTGGTGAAGGAAAGCTGACCAACTGAAAACTATCACTTGCTTTATTAAATTAGACCAGCAGGAGAAGCTGGGATCTTAGTCATGTTGAAATGTTATTTCTCTTGTCTGTTAAGGGTAGGTACTGCTCAGAAAAACTGGTACTTTGAACCTACCCTTCACCAACCTGTCCACTCCCTTCATTTGGCAGGCACTGGTCTACTCCACATCCTCCACCTTCCCTGCCCCACCATTGGGAGTCAGGCCTTTAGCCTTTCTGTCCCCACTCTCTGAAACTCCATCCCTATGCCCCTCTGCCTCCATCCTCCCTTGCCTGTTTCAAGGCCCGTTTCAAGACTTTCCTCTTCAACTCTGCCTTCGCTCATCTTCCCACCCCCAGCCCTCTTGCCCTCCACCCCTGTTGATTCCAGCCCCCAGTTCCAACCTTTCACAGTCCAGTGCCTTGGGATGTCCTCCCGACATGAAAGGTGCCTTGTAAATGCAATTTGTTATTGTTGTTCGTTCTAAATTCATGAGTACATGTTATAACGTGAAGATGGCCTTATCTGTACTGGATATTAAGGAATTGTCCTTGTCTTAGGCTGACTAACGGTGTATATTTTTTCGATTGCCTATCTGTTTGTTAGTATTAAGGGATACAGGGCAAGGGCAGTAATTGGATTTGAGGTACAGATCAGCCATGATCTTATAGAATGGTGGAACAGGCTTGAGGGGCTGAATGGCCTACTGCTGTTTGTATGTTGAACTCTTTTATAAAAATGCATATTTCATTTGGTTTTCTACAAACCAAACCTGGGGAAGGGGAAGAGGAAAGAAAGCACCTAACATGCCCCACCCAATAACACCTGTTTGATTTTCCCCTTGAAAAATAATAAAACTGACAGCACTTCGGCTGTATATTGTGTTTATTTTGCTTTAAAGTAGCTTCTTTCTTGAATACTCCACTCTGTTTTTGACAAGTTTCTTCAATACTCACCAATTTTCCTTTATGATGCTAACTATCAGTAACTGGTTTTATAACTATTGACTTGTCTGAGACTAGTCTTAAGTATCCTGAGGTGAATTTAAGTTTATCCAGTACTAAATTGTTTGCACAATCTTCATTGTGGACAAAGTTCAGTCAATTGGAAGTCTTTTTTTGTGTGAATCTTCATTTAGGTAGTTTTACCACCTGGTTCACACCATTCTGATGACAAAGGAGTTAAAGAGATTATTCTTGACGATGAGGAATGCCCACTTCAGATTACTCAAGATTGGCCAAGTGACAAAGGTGAGTAAAGGATCAGGTTATTTGGCATTTACATTCAGATGGTTTTAAAACAATATTAAACTTTGTTCCAGTTAATGTTGCAACTATTTTGAGTTTCCAAAGTACTGTATATAAAATGGTAGCCATGCAATTACAGTACTTAAAAGGTTGAAATCACCTTCTCAATCATGGCTTTGGCTGATCAGGATTAAGGACATGGAACATTGAAACTGATTAGGTTGCTAACAATAAAGGTATAAACTTTATACTCTTCTATTGGAATAATTTGCCTCGAATTAGAGGAAGAGTCAGCAGTATTAAATTTCACTCTTCACTTCAAGCTCTTATCCCCTGCTCCAGTAGTACATTTCTTTTATATTTATTTCCCCAATTTTTCATAATTCTGTGTAATGCTAAATGTTTCTCTATCAATACAATTTGCCAGTAATTATTTTTAAATAAATATCTAAAAAGGAGTATAGGGAGAGGGTAGGTAAATTAGACTGCTGACTCTCTTAAGAGCAATCCTTTCAGGCACAATAGGCTGTAAACTTCTATGGTTCTAAAGTGCCAATGTACAGCCTTAACTCACAACTGTCTTACTCAAAGGCTGGAGTTCTATCGACTGAGCCAGACTAGTGCGATAATTGTCTATTCAAAGAAAAGCTTTACTGAATTGATGACTTCGTTTTGGCTGCCTCCTATTACGGAAGTAGATTGGACCCTACTGTTGAAGCATAGTCTCTGTTAAAAGAATATAACTACAATCTCCACTTATTCTCTAGCAAATAATACTAGAAAGCTTAGTATTATGAATAACTTAATATTTTGAGAATTAATTACTTAAACCATTGTAAGAACAGTGCTTCATTTTTAATAATATACTTGCATTTGATACAGCGATTTATCACATTGTCTCAAAACCCTTCAAGATATGCTGTAAAGTGATGTGACAGTGTATTTTGTGGGTGAATGCAGCAGCCAATTTCTGCACAGCAATGTCTCAAGCCATCTGAGTCACTGGCCTGGGTGCAAACATTCAGACACTGCCCCGAGTGATGGGCGGTATATAATTGCAAGAAGTTGTTGTTATCCCACAAACAGCCATGGAATGAGTGATCATTTTTATGTAGGGGATTGTTGGCTGAGACACTATATAATGGAATGGTGTATTTGTATATAGAAAGTTTTCAAATTGTTTTCTTAATCAGTCATAATAGTTTAATAATGAGAAAGGCCACAGTATTAATGTTAGATTCTCTTATTTTAAATTCTCGTTACAGGTACTTTAGTTTTCCAGTTAAGGAAACGACCACCTGATTATGTGAAGGCAAAAAAACAAAAGGAGATGGATGGGAAGCTATTAAAAGGGAGAGAGGGGAATGATAATTCATCATATGGCACTTCAATGCCTCCTGAAAAACTGCCTTACCTTGTAGAACTGAGCCCCGGTAAGAATTGCATCCTACCAATCCATAACATTTTGGTGGTTTCATTTCAACCTATTTTCTTGCAGTTAAACATTTTAGTAAATGGTGTTTGTCTGTCCCCTCTTTGTATTTGGAACTAAGTGTTTTTTGTTGTAGAGTTGTATATCTTTGTTAATCAGATTAGTGACTGATCTAAATTTGAAAGAAATCAGATTTAATGAGCACTATGTTTTGATTCCAGAAATAAATATTCTATTTGTAGAAGAAATGTCGAAATGAATTTATGCAATCCAGCCAACAATACTGTAATTAAGATTGTTTCAGAATGCAATTAGATTAGTGTTCAAATTGAAATCATGTTTCTTTGAACAAAATTGCCTAGTTTATCTGCTGCTTCTTCAATTTTAAAAACAAATCAAATGGAGATTTTCTCTTGTCTTTCTCAAATTTACCCATGGCTTGATTTATCTCTTGTACCCGTTAATCAAATTAGAATTTTTATATTACCAGAATTGGTCATTTTAGAGTGATGACCTGGCATCATGACCAGATATGGTAAATAGCTGTTTGATGTTGCATTTTGTACACCTGAACTTCAAGAATGCATTACAAGAACCACCAATTTGTTTTACTTTCGAACCAATTGCTTATTGCTAATTGAAGGAACTTCCCCTATATATATATATATAGAGAGAGAGAGAGAGAGAATAATTACTACTCTTGAAAGTTTATTGCCAATCAAAAGAAAATATTCTATTCCATAGTAACATGCTGACTATATCGGGAGTATTGCAAATTACGCATTGTTGGAAGGATTCTGTTCAGCACAACCTTTCGCAAACTTAAGACAAAGTAAAATGCTCTGAATCAAACTCCAGTGGAATTCAGCTGGTCTTTGGCAGCATTTATACTCCACACGACACTTTCCCCAGGAAATGCTGCTACCGACAAGTTGAGCCAAATGGCCTGTTCTTATGCTGTAACTTTTACTGTTTAGAACCATGAATATTCAATTAAGTTAAAATTAATTATTTTCAAGGGAGCAAAGTTTTTTTCATTTCATTCTCATTGTGATCTGATAAACCAGTACTATATTGAAAAATTGTTTTTCAGATAGTTCATCAATGGTGTTGAAATGCACTCACTGTCACTGTTCTGTTTGTCAGGTCAGATCTTCAATTCTGGCATACTGGAATATTGAGCATCTGACTTTGTGTAGGAATTGTTTCCTCTGTTATTTAAAGTCTCTGGAAATACTACCATGAATGAGGCATGTTATTTAGCTGGTGTTGTAAAATTGTGGGCCCAGCATCCTATGACATATTTAATATTACAGTTTCACCCGAAGCAAAGTTATTTCTGCAGGTGCATTTTGCAACTGTTGGAATCTTCCATTTTTGATCTAGAATATTTAGTTCTCATTGGTAACCTTGTATATTATTTTCGAAAAGGTCTTGGAAATCACTTTTGACTGCTTCTCTCAAGCTCTCTTTGTGATCTGATTTCCCTTTCAGCTTGTATGTTTAATTTACTTGTATATGCAACTATGTTGTCCTTTTAGCTCTGTTCAATTTGATTTACTCGAAGAGTTAATGTGCATTGGAGTCGAGTGGATTTCACAAACTGGTTCTGAGACAGCGTTCTAAATTCAAGAAATTGAACACCTAACTGACCCAGATTAACTACAAAATGAAATAATATGAATATTTGATTAATGGTTGTAGCAATATTTCTAGAATGAACTTAATAAATAGTCATAAAAACAGAAGTCACTGGGAACATGCAGCAGGTCAGGCAGCATCTATGGAAAGAGGAAAGTGAGTTAATATTTCAGGTCGGTGACCTTTCGTCAGCGACTTCTGTTTTATTTCAGATTTGTAGCATCTGCAGTATTTTGTCTTTTATTTAAAAAATAGTCTGTAGAATAGTCTGTGTGAAGGGAAGAATGATGTCAGTGGCTTCATTTGTGGCACTATATTTTCACATACCTGCTTATCTAATCCATTAAAAGCAAGTGGGTTTATTTTTTGTGCTACATTTAATTTTGTACTAGAGCTTCCAAGCACAAATATAATGAACCATACTGGTCATACATGAATTTCTGTAATAGCCTTTGACATTGGAGAATATTTGTCAGAAATTTCTTAAGGATATTTGGATGGAAGGAAGCTCTTTTTGCATTTCTGCATCATTTAAAGTTTGAGAGGTGTTCATATGAATAAAAGCCCTTCGACCCGTTTGATCTCATTGTTCCAGAATATCCATACTTCCAATTTGCATCAAACTATTTTAAAAATGAGTGCTGGGCTCTACCACTTGTGTTATAATTCATTTTAGCTATTCATAATCCTCTGTAAAGAAGTAATTCCCTTCACAAAATCTCCCTTCACAGTCCTGTGCCAGTTCCCTTATCTTGCTTTGTTGGTATAGGACATACATTTAAGACAGTTGTAAAAAGCATTAGAGGAGGTTAAAACATAGAATTATCAGTTTTGTTGAAGCAAAGTCCATAAATTATTTCCAAAGGGACTTGAATGCTTGTAGAGGAATAGTATTAAGATTAAACTAGGTAACTTGTGAATACAAATGCTGAATTCAAGTTTTTAATGATCTTATTCCATGTCCTGTTTTCCTGTCTGTATATTATCATGTATGTAAATATGTTTTGTGCTGCTTCTGATCTTTCAGTGTCTCTCAACATTTCCCCTTTCTTCCTGATCTGCCTTGAGTAGATGATAGACCCCCTGCTTGACCTAACAGGTCTTATAATTCTACTTGGGAAGACCGTGCCCTTCAGCGTCTTGGAACGTCCTATTATACATTGTAATTTTTGTTGTTATAGTGACCATCTTTTGTGAATCGGATTTGTTGGAACTAAAGAGAATCAATTTGATTTACAAAGTAGAGGATGCTTACTATACAAAAGAAAGATACAATCTTTCTTCTCCCCCATGTTTTACTCAGCTCTCCCAAGACTCGCATGTAACTTGCTCTATCACTGCTTCAGTCAAGCCATCTGCTTAGCATGTGTGATAGCAGCGCAGAATCAGCATGTCCTCTGTTGTGGAGGAGAGCTTGATGTCTGCTTGGTAGCTTTTTATAGCAACCCAGGTGAAATTGACACTGCAGCAGAATTGCAAAACACAGGCACTCATCACCATTCCTGCTGTTGTACGTCAATGATCCCAAACTGCTGCCCCACAAAGGAAAGCCACTATACCATTGTCTTTTTGCTCTGAATTAAATTTCAGGTGACTCCAATTATATGATTCCCCCCTCCCCCATTGATCTGGCTGAATTACTGTGATTGTTTTATTTGCAGATTGAGATACTAACACTTTGATTAGTAAGTTACCTTAACTGCAATATAATGCACTAACAGTAAAGGGTCTTCACTCTGAAATTATTAAACCTGAATAACGGTTGGACGAAGAAATATCTGAGCCTTCAGGAATTGGGAAGGGAAGAACAATTGGGTCTTTAATTAAATTTGTCCATCTAACTGTGCATTAAAAGCGGATGTAGCATTTAGTGTACATTTTTGTGTCTTAATAGCTTGCAATTTGCTTTGCAGACGTTAATCAGATTCTTCTAGGCAGTCTCCAAGAACATTTCTTGTCCTGATTTCACTGAAATGTATTTAAGTAAAAATACTCTTTAATGAAGTTGGTAGAAATGCACGTGTTCTCCTACTGCAATTTCACAGCTTCCCTATCTTCTCTTTCCTATCCTACGCATGATCTGCATGGTTTCTATCCTGCTGATCTCCCTTCACCTGGGTCCTGTGCATGTCTCCTTACCCCAGGGAGAAGGAATCACGTTGCCTACTACAACTATTATCCATGTGAAGGTAAATGCACATAACTTTGTTTGCATGCAGTTTTTCAAAAAATACAAGTAGTTTATTTGAGATATAGAAAATGGTCTTTCCATAGAAAACGACAAATGTCTAATTCTAATGGATTTGCACTCACTTTTGGCAAATTTGCATTTTGTTTAGCTAGCATCTAAGATGGCCGCTATAATAAGAATAGCGGTCACAATAGGGAAAAAAGCTGTTTTTTTAAAGGATGATTGTTTTGAAAGTATTGGTGGCAATTTTAACCTTCAAGCTACCCCAGGTACCACAGAAGGAAAATATCAGTCAGATGATTGTGATAACAATTCCCTCTCCAGTCACATCAACATTCATCTAAACTCAGACACGATGGAAAGCAACTTCAGCGGAAACACACTCAAGGAACATTATCACCATAAATAAGTGTCTTCTGAAGATGAAGTTAGAAAGATTGGAAAGGGTGAAAACTCTTGCACTAAAAAAAAACCTGTGGGTAGTTGCAGCATTTTGCAATCTGAAAAGTATGTTCAAGTCACTTACATTATTAAAAAAAGTACAGAGAAATGTAAATTCATTGCTGGTAACGTGTATAAATGAGTAAGGGGAGCCATACAAATGGGAAAAAATCATAGGAATGCCAATTCCTTTTGAACTTTTTGTCAGATCTTGCCCAATCCTTCCATCCTGGTGTTTCAAACTTCATTTCATCTTGTTTCTTCCAGTTATTTTCAATGTTTCGGTTTATAAGTGCAATCAGTTTTTTCCATGTTTAAAAAAAATAGTTTTGAAACAGGAACAACTTTGACAGAAATTGCATGTTTCATGCACGTATACGACATTTATTCTAAGTAGCTGTTCTGTCTCTGTGGATGTCCAGCATCTACTCTTTTTCATGGTCATAATTTTGTGCGAGCTTTGATCAGAAATTCCAAGATGCATTGATCGCAGCTCCTGATGAGGTCAATATCTCATCTTGAACAAAATTAATCATGTGTAAGGTCTTGCAAGTACAATTTTGATTACAGTTCTCATTGTGAAGCATTCAAAAAGAATCATTGGAAAACATTTCTGGAATTCTATTGGACTTTGAAGTATTTCCAAGCAAGCATTTAATTCCTGCTCCACTTTACTGCTGAAAGCAAAGTATATAAATGCAGCGTTAGATATAGAACAGTAGAGGGAGCCATGCCCTGCAAGTAACTTCACAATACTGTCCTGGGAGTACTTCATATGATGCTGGTGATAAGAAGCTTTTCCGATCAATGATGCATCTACTTGTTCAGTCACAAAATATTAAATTGGGCTAGAGGAAAAAGCTCAATCCTTACAATATTGCAAAATGAAGTGTTTTGCTTCTCGTTACCCCCCCACTCCCCCAGTTCAAGCATTTTATTTTTTGACTGGGATCTAGTAATAATGATAATAACCCTTGCATTTGATATAATATTTCTGAAATCCATGTGGAATTTCCTTTTTATTTTTCCCTTTCTAGAGCATCAATACTCATTTTGGTTTATTTGTGGCAGGAAAAAGCACTAATATTTACTGGACTGTAAATTCTCTAAGAAATGTGCTTTGGATGTTTTTGGCATGTTATATTCTGTGCTTTCCTGTTGATCCTTTTATTATTTGGTTTGAATGAAAGATTTTACAAGTGCATGGCCTATGGTTTGGATGCTTGTGTTAGATAATTGATGACTAGTTTCAGCACTCAGTTCAAGATGCAATAAGTCTATATAAATTACTGTAATTAGTTGGATGAGATGGCCTTCATGATTTTAGTTTAAACTTGACTCTGGTTGATGCTGGATTTCAGGAGGTGTAACAACAATATAGTGTACCAACGTGTAGGCACATATGTCACATTTAATCTTGTCCATGGATGTTGAGTAAATATTCTTAAATCCAATTTGGAATACTGCTAACGTGAGGCTAAAGTATGTCGAGCACCTCAGGTTTGGAGAATGAACATGTCTCTTCATTGAAGGGAATGTTTCCTTCTCAATGTTGTTACGTTATGGTGTTAAGTTACTTGACTCAATTTCAATCGCATCCAACTGTCTTTCATTAACAGATCTACTGGAAAAAATCCACAAAATGTATCCAAACAAATCTGTGAAATTGCATTCAGTTTGGATCTTGATAAGTGAATGAGATCATTGACATTTAAGAGGAAGGAATTGCTCAGTTAGTTTGTTGTACCGTAAATAGCTTCTCACATTTTTCTTGCTAATTTGCTATAGTCCAACTGCAAATTCCACAAATACAAATTTCCAAATATAAGCTGTGTTTTAGTGCATGAAGACTAACCTGCAACAACTTCAACTAATTTTACAGATGGTTCAGACTCCAGGGATAAACCAAAACTCTACCGATTACAACTGAATGTAACTGATGTTGGTACTGAAAAGGCAGATGAGCATTCTATACAGGTAAGAATGAGCTTTTTCAGCAGAGAGGCTTCTTCCAGCCCATTTGCTGAATCCGGAATCCAGCAATAAGAGCACCCTGGAGGTGGAGGCGGCTTCATAGTTCATTTGCCAAAGCCCCTCACGTGAGCATGTGGATTAAGCAGCTGGTGCTGAGTAAGCCTAGTATGTGGCATTGGACTTATAACTCGAGTAAGTCGATCTCCTTGGACCTGAACCTGTTCTAAGGTGACGTGTTTGGCAACATGATGTCAGAATCAAGTCAACCTTCTGTGCCAGTCTCATAATCCAGTGCCTGAGCCAACCGGGTCTGCATTATTCCAGGGCACTGCTGATGAAAGCACAGCCAGCCTGGCTCATTGGCAGGACTTAGAAGGGGCAGATCAGCCACCAGGGGCCGGGAGTCATCCCACTCAGCAACTGTTAATCCTGCAAGCCAAAGCTCTAATGGATAGGGTGGTCTTAACTGGACGAGCAACAAGGGAAAGCTTGCCCGGCAGTGCTTTCAATGGCAAGCTAATGGTTTTAGCTGTCAAGCAGCTGCGAAAAGGCCTCAAAACTCTCAACAAAGGGTTGGGTAGCAAGCAAACCATCCTTGCAAGAATTAGGAATTTTTCCCTCTTGGCCCCTCCCCTGGTACTGCCCCTTGGGTTGAATTTGAATATAACCTCTTCAGTATCTCTAATCAAACCCCTTATGTTAACTCATCCACAATGTAATTTTATTTCAGAACATCTTGGTGGGATGTTGGTAGCACAGATCAGCCAATATAACATTCCATTCCTTTAAAATAATAATAATCCTTGAATTGGATATAATATCTTTATTATTTATTATAATATTATTTATTATAATATCTTATGTCATTCAAACAGCCCTTAAAGCTCTTTACAGGATACACTGTAAAGTGTTGTGATTGTGTTTTATGGACAAATTTGACAGCCAATTTGTGTATAGCAATGTTTCAAACTATGAGAGATGAAATGACCAATGTTATTTAGGATTGTTGGTTGGAACACTGGGAGAAACTCCCTTCTCACTTCGAGAGATTTTCATGTTAAAGGTGATGTTAATAAATATGATTATGATAAATACAATTTATAGTGGACTTAAAAACTTTTCTTGCATTTGCAGCTTTTTGGCCCAGGTATCCAACCACACCACTGTGACCTTACTAACATGGATGGTGTAGTTACGGTTACTCCCCGCAGCTTTGATGCTGAAACATATGTTGATGGTCAGCACATTGCAGAGACAACCATGTTACAAAGTGGTATGAAGATTCAGTTTGGGTCATCACATGTATTCAAGTTTGTGGATCCCAATCACGATCTTATGATCAAAAAATCCATGGACACAGGACCGATGGTCAAAGAACACAGAATTAAATCTGGGTAAATTCTTGTATTTAAAACTATGTATTAACTATTCGTCAACTGATTTCAGCTGGGATTCATTTTAAAAACCTAGTGTTATTAATTAATTTTTTCATTCATGTTTTTCGTGTGCTAATAAGCAAAACATGCCATGTGAATGCCACTGTATAAAGCTCAGCCATTGTGTTTCTGCTTGCATCGCATGTTTCTCCAGTTATTTAACAGTCTGACAAATTTTGTTTGGGTTCTTCAAATGGACAATGTTTTTAAGTTTGAAGAAGTTAGTCTTACTCATATGGGATGTTCATTTGATGAGAGCCCAATGTCTATTTGCCTTAAGTTACCAGAATACCATCTCTGCACAATTTGCATGCTACATTAAAGAAGCAGGACTACCTGGCTTCAACATGTAATGTACATCAGTATTGTACAGAAGCTAATGTCATGTTACAATAATCCTTGTATTCGATATAGCACCTCATCGCATCTCAACGTCTCGAAGCACTTCACAGAATTTTCTATGAAGTGTAGCGATTGCATATGTATAGGTGAATGTGTTGGCCAAATTTGTGCACAGAGATATCGCCCAAATCGCCAGAAGTTGAATGACTAATTGAACTTGAAGTTTATTGTCCAGAATACCAGGAGAAACTAATTTCTCTTTCAAATTTGCATGCTACAAGAATCATGGATTCTTTTAATATTAATCAATTATTAAACTAAATGGAGCAAATGTGGAATGCATAGCACCTGCCTATTTGACAAAGTAGAGGCATGTGCCAGGAGTTCAAGGAAATTTGAATTCAAGGAATTTTTATTAAATGTTTTCTACATAATTTTATAAATAAATTGAACAATTTGTGTCTCCAGACAGGGTTCCCGTAGTGTCCAGGAAACTACGTTCGATCTTGATGGAGACATTCACAGCGTTACAGGTTTACCTATAAGCAAGGTATTAAAGTTTTGTGGGATTCTCCCTTGGATATAAGACATTTTATAATTTTGCAATGGAAACTTACTGGTAGTATAGTCATATTTACTGCACAAGTAGAATGGAAACAAAATAAATTCTCTTGCTGGAGTAGTAAATGCCCCAATGTCCCTGTTCAGAATGGTACAAACCGTTCTGGTCTGTAAACCTGAGTGTGAGAATTATGCTATGATTCCATTCAGAATTGAACTTAAAGGTAAACTTCAGACTTCTTTTTTACACGTCATATTTAGTCTCCTCTGTTTTTCCATTTCAAATTTCCATGACAAAAAAGAATCCCTTTTTGCTCAGGTGTTGAAAATAGCCTTGTAATGTTCCAGACTGAAGACAAAACTAAAGAATTATTCAAAACCTGGTGAAAAATTGCAGTTCATAGTGTTGTGCCACCATTTATATTAAAAAAATCAGCCAAGTAGTATTTGGGTAACTCAAGATGTGTGCTTTAAAAGCTTTAGATTGTATTGAAGAGGTAAAGAATTCCACATTGTTATGGTCTTGGGAAAAAAATAGTGTTAGCTGATGCAAGAAGTTTTTATTTCAGCACAATGATGTAGCAACCCTTGAGAGTTATAACCAGCACCACAAAACTTGAAAAGCCAAAAATAATAAAAAATCCTTACATTTGATTTAGTGCCTAAGCGCTCCGAGATGCTATCCCATGTTAAATGTGCTATATAAATGTAAGTTGTTGCACATCGGTGGACATCTCAAACTGCTTCACCGGATTTTGCTGTAAACTGTAATGACAGTGTTAATATTCTAGAACATCTTTGCATATCATGAGTTCACGCTAATAAAGCAGGAATGAATGATCTTTCCTGCTCTTAACAAGATTCTGATGCAAGGAAGTAGACAGACCCAGAAAAAGCTGCAAAATAGTCTCTTTTTTTTCCCCCAGCATAAATTTGATGCAATCCATCTCCAATCCTAGATTTGCTGTTTTTTCCCTTGGAGGGCCATTAACATCTGATAGCTTGAATAAAGATGCTGCATCTATAATATCCCTTGAAGTTCATAGTTTGCTCCCCAAATTAAAGGCAGTTTATTTCGCCCTGAATTGAGAGCAAAATGAGCTCTTGGATGTGTGGGATGATAATTTCTTCCTGATGAGAGACTACGACTTCTGAGAATTTGTTGAAATGTCACAGATTACATATGGGCGATAAAATCCCGACTGCTTTCTTGGTTCACTAAACTTTAATCTTCTCTCCGCAAGATCAGTGATTTACCATTTTACACTCACTAAGCTATATATGGGTGCTCGGACTATAATTTCGAGTCTTGTAATGCAAACCAAAGATGACTTTGTTCATTTGTGCCAAGAGTATAATTACAGTATGTACATTTTATGTAAGAGATTTGATTATTGCGATGTGTATATGGGGAAAAAAATGGCTTGACCAAAAAGAAACGAGTTGCAAATTTCTTAAAGGTATGAAATCTAACATTTGTTTCCCCAACCTTGACTCCTGCCAATGTTTTGTTTTCCTTTAGAGTTCAGATAGGTTGGATAGTGAGCACACTACATCAAGTTCCAGTTCAAGTGAACGTAACGTGGTGAAACCAAGCGTCAGAGTGGAGAAACCGGACTACTACAAACAGGAAATCAGGTGAGGAACAAATTTTAAGTGCAATAGAATTGTTAATAGCTGCTTGTTTTAAGATTTTTATGGATTGTTCTGGTGGAGAAATTCCATTGACAATGTTGCCTTATTGCACTTCAGGTGTAAGGTAATTTTCTCTCCACTCATCCATGTAAAACAGTTTTGAAAATCTACAATGTTTGATGGTTTATGAAGCTGGCTCTGAATTTAGACTGAAAACTATTGAATATGACTGACTTTGAACTCACTCTTGACTGATACTTCAGTGCAGAGCTGGGGAGATTTCTGCATTGTCACAGATATCCTTTTGATATGATGCTAAACCAAAATCCCACATGCCAGTTCAGTGGTCATTAAATATTTTATGGCAAGATGCTTCAACCAAGTGTGGTTTCTCAAAGACTTTGCCTCCTTTTTAAATTGGGATCTGAATGTGACTGAAAAGTCTGGTATTCAGTTCATAGAGATTGATGTTTCTGGTGCATTACATTTAGTAGTCTGACTTCACGATTATCTTATGAGTATGTGAGTTTGCATTTTAAAGAAGATGCTTTAGTAAAACTGGTATTCAGTCAATATAAAATCCTGAGCAGTAAAATAATAATCCTTGCATTTGATATAGCACCTTACCAAGTCGTCGAGATGTCTCAAAGTGCTTCACAGAATAGGCTGTAAAGTGAATTGACTTTATTTTGTGGGCAAATCGCAGCAGCCAGTTTAGCACTGCAGTATCCCACAAACAGCTATGAAGTGCGTGGCCAATTTTATTTTGGAGATTGTTGACCAGAACACAGGGAGAAACTCCCTTCTCTTTTCGAATAGTGCCATAGGATCTTTAACATCACATGAACAGGCAGAAGGGACCTCAGATTAACATCTTATCCAAAGGATGGCATCTCCATCAATGCAACACACCCCCAGCACTGCATTGGAGTGTCATCTTGATTCCAGATCCTGATGTGGGGTTTGAACTCAGAGGCGAGAGTGCTACCACTGAGTAATGCTGACACTTAAATATTCTATTTTAATTAAAAATATTTTCATTGTTAGTGTATTCAATGTTGTTCATAGTATTTGAGCCTTTGAAATGAGTATCAAATGTCAATGATTGTCCAGTAGCTTTAACAGTCTTTTTGAAGTGTAAACTGATAATCATTTATTTGTAGTATTACAGGTATTGAAGAACCATGTTAAAGTTGTATTTAGTAGCAGATGCAACTCACAAAAAAGGCAATGTGCAAAGTAATTGATCGGAATGAAAGCACGGACATATCAATAATTCAAAGTAGAGCTGGTTTTATGTTCAGTATTCCATTCCATGAGAAACCTCTGAGTAAATGCAGGAGGTCTGAAACCATTTTGAGCCTGAAACAGTTCGTAGTTTGGAGCTTGGTGCTATTAAAAATTAAGTTGTTTTAATCATAGCAGAACTTAAGTCAGTCAATAAATTGAGAGTAATTTGTGCTATGCTAAAATGCTTTGCAAGTCTTCATCAATACAAGCACTGGAGAGGTCGGCATCAGTTGACAGTGGGATAAACTCTGCCTATTTTATTTGGTTTATTGAAAATCCTCTTTCTGTCTACAGACCACAAGATGCACAAGGTCATGAGCTGACTCTGCCAGCAACTATAGAGTTCCGCGAAAGTTGTAAGTAATACTGTAGATTCCAATATTGTGGGATTTGGAAGGAAAATTTGGATTTGTGCCCATGCACTTATAGGCTTAAAGCAATATCACTGGAGTTAATGTAAGCTGACCTGCCATTGTACAACATTGACTAGTATTAAGTCATGGAAGCCTGTTACCTTGTGATGTAAAAACTTGTTTTACCTTGTATATATTTAAAATCTTAAATATAACTGTTTGAACAATTTTATTAATACTGTAATGCACCATTTGAGCAGTAGATAATCTTTCTTACTGGACTATGTAGCTTGTTCAACTTTAAAATGAATGTTACTAGAAATGCCTGTACAGATATGTAACTTTTCGATTATATCCCGTCGTCTCAAACCATGGGTTTTTGCTGAGTTAATACCAAGTATAGTATTAAGTCTTCTTTAAATAGCTAACTTCTCAGATATGATTGTAACTAAAACTGTTTTGTCTTTTACAGCTGAAGATGCCTTTCTTTCTGCTGTTGTTAACTATACTAATAGTTCAACTGTTCATTTCAAGCTATCTCCCACATATGTGCTCTATATGACATGTCGGTATGTCCTGTCCAACCAATACCGGCCTGACATGAGTCCTTCTGAACGCATGCATAAAGTTATTGCAATAGTTAACAAGATGGTTAGCATGATGGAAGGAGTTATTCAGGTGAGTTTTAAAGCATAATTACCAGAGATGCTTGAACTGATTATAACATTTTTATATACATTCACTAAAGTTGGGTTAACGATTAATGCTGATGAATCTGTTACTAAAAGTTACAATACTGTTACGATGGCTTAATCACTAAAAAATACGTCATTTGCAGGTTTTAGAATTCTACACTTGTTTTTGAAAGGATTATTTCTTTCCAGAGACTCAATTTAGTATTCAGCAATAGGCAAGTAAATCTCAAACCTATTTAAGTGGTAGTGGTGTTACTGTGGCAACTACTGAATTTGTAACAAGTAAGCAAAAATGTGATTTTGTGGTGGTACTTTAAGGGTAAACATCAGCTTTCATGATACCACACCATGTTTTTTACATCACTCATTAAATATATTTTGAATACAAATGGTAGATGAAAGATCTCTAATTGGGAAAGCAGTATCAACACAAATATATGTTTTTAAGACAACTTTAATGTACAATTACTTATTTTAAGATCTTAACAACCTTGGGAAATTAAAATTTTTAGATGCATTTATTTTTAACAGAGCTAGAAAAAATAACTCATTTGAAATTTTTTTTCCAGTTTTCTGTATCCACTCCTTCACTCTTGAAGGTGCTGGGTATTTTTGCTGGATGTATGGTGGTTGCATGAGTACCTACTACCCTCATATCTGACCCAAGTGGTCATTCTTGTGTGAGCCTAGATGATTTATGTCCATGCATGTACTTTTTCCAACAGGATAACTAGTTAGCAATTAGCAAAAAACCTTAGATAAAATTTTTCTCTCCTCATTTTCTTCTCTTTTCATAGTTCAGGTTTCACTGGCTGAGATCAACCAACTAGTATGCACAAGCAATAAACCAGTGAGCCTGCATTTCTTAATGCTACACTGGGTAGTAACTTGATCATGAATGCATTGGAGGAATATTTACAAGTTTTTTTTTGTGATACAAGCTTTATGCATTTAAGTACCATTATTAGTGAAGTTGGGACTCAGAATAGTTATGCCAGTGCTTTACATTGCTCTGCATAATTTACCATGGCTCCATGTTTAATGTAACCCGTTTAAGCACATTTTACATGGTAACTTCAAATGAAACAAAATCTAAATTCTGATTCCTTAAGTTGATATCTACATATTTATTTGATCTCTGGCGTCATTTTAGCTTTAATTGAGATTGTATGCAACCTGTGTATAACAAATTTCCAATTTTGTCCTTATAGTTACATATTTTACAACCAATGTTTCACATAATAAGGAATACTGTAGTCCATTCTATTCTATGCAGAATTTTCAAAGATGTATCCTTAAGAATTTCTGTTTAATTTTGATGCTTAAATTTCTGCACTAGAATTTTAAGGACATTTTCTCAGATAGCATTTCTGCATTGCTAGTAGTTGCTCTACTTTTCAGAGGCTGAAGCTAGATTCTTTTTGACATCTTGGTTGAACTACTAAGTGTAATGCGAAAATTCTAATTTACAGTTTTTACACATTAGTGCTGTTGCACTTGGTAGCAAAAGGAATTTCACATTCTGTTTAGATTATGTTACATACAATTATTTATTATTCTATTACTGCCTTTGCGCACCTATTGCATGTAAATATGATCAAGTAAACAAGTATCTGATATTCTTGAGTGACAACTTCATAACTATGTTCCCACATTCAAAAATAGACAAACTTATGCGCCTATACATCTCAACAATCAATTTGACAGCTTTAAAGGTCTGTGTTGAATAGTTACTTTACATTTCTGTTTTGTAGTTTTGTAGTTGTGTGACAAACTTGCTGCTCCCCTCCCATCCCTTTACAGGTATAGGAAACTGCATTCAAAGTTAATATTCACACATTGTTTCTAAACCATAACAAGTGAAGATTTGTTTTGAGTTGTTTATTCAGTTTTCATAATGAAATTTAATTTTATTGCAGTGTTTTGCATTGTTAATCATTATTTGTATACATCGTGATTGTTAAAACATTTTTTTTCTCTATTTTGCTTGATTCCTGTTCCCTTTTCTGCAGGATGTAGCACAGTATGAACAGGTAGGACATGTTGCTGGGAATTGATTCCAGCAGTCAGCTTAGCTCAGTTTCTCATGCTTCTCCATATCAGAAACAACAATTCAGTGGCTGGACTGAATGGTACATAACACTCATTTAGCGATTGGAACATGCAGCACTAAAACTTGACTGCACAACTGTGTTGGCATTTCATGTGTATTTGCTTAATGCACTTCTCTGTGGTGATGTACAGATTCAGCCCAAGTTCTTTTGCTTGATGTCTGTGGCCCTGTTCTTTTGTCAGCCTTCTTTAACATTGCCTGGCGGTTAGGGGTTACATTTAAACCTGGTCATGCTTTGATTGTAGGTGAGAGAGGAAAAAAAACAAGAGTGACGTTAATTGTTTTGATCATTGCAGAAGCAGAAGAATATTGCAGGTGCACTTGCCTTCTGGATGGCAAACGCATCAGAACTTCTCAACTTCGTCAAACAAGACCGAGATCTTAGTCGGATCAGTCTGGATGCACAAGATGTCTTGGCCCATTTAGTGCAAATGGCTTTCAAGTATGAAAATGAATTTCCCTGGATATATCTGATATTTCTTTAATGGCTTTCCAGTGGTGCTTAATTTTAGGAAGACATTCAGAACAGTGGTTTAATAAAGGGTGGCCCTGTGAGAACATATGCTGATAGGGATCCTCCATCTATCAACTTCTTACAAATCTGTAATTTCAATCAAATATCTTAACTTTGGGAGTATTCATACCCCAGTGAACATGAGACATTCCCACCTCTGTGTGCTAAATGTACTCTGCTACATTCAGGCGACCTGCCATATGAGTAGTTTTATTCATTAAAATAGAGCTTTCAAGAATTTATTTCCATTTGCATACCTTAACTATTTCTAAAATTGTCCAGGAATAGTACTAATATTCAATACATTATAGATTTGGTTTGTAATTAGTGATGTGTTTTGTTGTGCTGAGTATCCTAATATCCAAATTTTAAGATTTTGATTCATTTGAGACCAGCTTCTCTAAGTAAATGCATGATGGTCAATAAGAAATGCTGAAACGGAATGATTATTCTCCTCAAGTATCTTTTTATAAGAAAATACTTAAAATAGTTTGAATGTGAATAGGATTTATCTTTAATGCTTCTTTAAAAATGTCTATATATATTGAGCAATCTGATGTATACATTTCAGACAAAGAATTATTTCAATTCAATCAATAATTTAAATTCATACTCCTGAATGTGCTGTTTTTCAGATTTTTAGTTCACTGTCTACAGTCAGATCTCAACAACTATATGCCAGCATTCCTTGAAGATCCTGAGGAGGCAAACCCACAAAGACACAAAATAGGTCTGAAACTTACATTTAACTGATTACCAACTTTATGTAGTAAATTTTGATAAATTGTCCTTTTACATCTTGCATCATTATATACAGTAAAATTAGCATAAGTCTTATTTTTATAAAGCATAAAATTGCCTAAGTGGTACATTTATACGAGTCTCATTCAGTTTCCGATCGAAACCACTAAGATTTCTTTCCACTTCTCATATTGATTACCAGGCTGCGTTGAATGGTAGTCTTGATCCGACGCTGCGTGTGCAGAAGAATTTCATTTCCTGTGATTCCAATGCTTGCTGCTAAGTGCAGATGCGGCGATGGGTCAAAGCGCATTGAATTGTGGCGTATCGTAGTCTTGACCCGTCTCCGCACGCACACTTAGTGGCTGCGGTGGTGAGCTACCACATGTGCACTTATTAGCTGCATTGAATTACTCATGCGCAGTGTAGATTATTGATTAAATCGGATTTTATATGATTTATGCAATTTGCTTGCCACTCGGACATTGTATAAATCATATCTGTTGTCCTTGGGAATGATATGACTTGTCAATTTTACTGTATTTCTTTAAGTTCCCACATCAAGAATTTAATTGTATAGTATAGGTTGAGACTCCAATGCAGTGCTGGGGATTGTGCTTCATTATTGGAGGGTGGCATCCTTCAAATGAGACATTAAATCAAGGTCTCATTTGCCTGTGAATGACCAATGTTATCAGGAGCATGGAACTGCTCGAAAGGAGAAGGGAGCTTCTTTTTGGTTTCCTGGTCACTTTTGTTTTTTGTTTTAAAAAAAAAGTAGAATTTTATATTTACACAAGCTTAAGCACAATACTTAGAGAATTTGCAATTATGTTTTGCTGTATTTTTAATGGAGTGAACTGCAACTGCTTTTACAAAGCACAGGATGTGTACAATGGAAATCAAACACACTCAAGGTTTTAAATATTTGCGCTTCGGACAAAGCCTCCAATCTGGATATTTTAAAAGAATGTTTAACATAAAATCCAACTTTATATTTTCCAGATGATGTCTTGCACACGCTGACGGGAGCAATGTCTTTGCTGCGTCGATGTCGTGTAAATGCCGCTCTCACTATCCAACTATTCTCTCAGCTCTTTCATTTCATCAATATGTGGTTATTCAACAAACTGGTCACTGAGACAGACTCAGGCCTGTGTTCTCATTATTGGGGTGCGATCATCCGACAACACCTTGGGCACATTGAAACCTGGGCTGAGAAACAGGGCTTGGAACTAGCTGCAGACTGTCATCTTAGCAGAATTGTGCAGGTGGGTTATCATATTGTTGAATGAATAATATTTCAATTTAGAGGAGTGATATTTTAATGCCACATCAAATAAACACTTTGCCTGATGTATTCTGAAATTATTTTGCCCATTTTACATCCCCATGGATTGAGTTAACACAGGATACGTGCTCTAGGTAATTTGTAGAAATACAAGAGGAACTGGTTGAAGCTGTAGTTCATATTTTTAAGAGATGAAAGTTGACTTGGCTCTCATTGGAAATAAGTATCCTGGATTTTGGAGATGGACAGAGCATTCCTCCTCCCACTGACGACTCTTAACAACCTATTGTTAAGAGGCGTTATGTGGAGCAGCTCTTTTTACTTCAACAAAAGTGAGTAACTCTGACAGACTTGAGAGCCAATCCCAAGCTACCAAACCCTGGAAAAGAACCATATCGCCACCTCTGAAGTGGCCTTCCAGAATGCTCCTTAAGATCTGTAATATTAGTGTGGTGGAAGCGAAAGTAAAATTGTCTGTTTTAATACTGGAAAATAATTTACCTATACAAATTGTCATAGTGTTGGAAGATTTTGCATTGTGATAGCATTAAAAAAAACTGTGATCAAACCCGATTGATCATAACTTTGGTGGTAAAGCTAATGTAGTTTTAACTGCAAAGATGTTTTAATTTGTTTCCATTTTAGGCAACGACATTACTAACCATGGATAAGTACTTAGCAGAAGATATTACAAGCATCAGCAACACTTGCTTTAAGCTGAACTCACTACAACTGCAAGCACTGCTGCAAAGTTACCATTGTGCACAGGATGAACCTTACATCCCTCAGGTATTCAAACCCATTAAAAATTAATTTACATTTTATGTACACATGAGGGTGTAATGTGTGTAATTATGTCACCTTGGCTAAATTGGTAGTCTCTGAATCACAAAGTTGTGAATTTATATATTTAGATTGCAATAAGAGAACACTGGCTGAAATACATCACAGTACTATATCAATTGGCTCGGGTCCAAATCCCTGACTGTCTAGCACCTTTGGAAAGTCCTCCCGACATGATAGGCGCTGTACAAATGTAATTTTGTATTGGAGCAAGTCAGCAGCAGCATGAACGCCATACCATTTTTGTTCACTAAAATCGTGGCCCAGCTATTGAAATGCATTCATCAGACTATAGATAATGTTCACTTTGTCTCAGAAACATTATCAACATTCTTTGTCATGATGTTGGATCAAGAAAAAATTCTTACATGAGAATATTTTGACAAACCCAATCAGCTTGTAATTACAAAATATAATAGTTTTAGTTGCATTTTTTTTAAAAAAGTTGCTATCCTTAGAGTTGACAATGCAGCCAGTTAAAAGGATTTTGATGATGACTTTTTGTTTTGGCATTTAAACTAAAGTCTTGCTAAATAAAGTTTACAGGCTTGTTCATACCTATACATATATAGGTATAAATATATATATATATATATCTCCAACAACTTATTTCTAGGTAACCAAAACAGTGATTCATGATGAACCAGTTGATGAGCAGCGTATGTTCAATGTGAAATAATTTAAGATTTGTAGCTATTAAAAATGCTTCAGTAGAAGATACAAATTTGCTTTCTTCGAGTTTCCCCAAGCCATGCACATCTCCCAATTTAAGCAGGCGATCTGCTTCCAGGTGCTTCCAATGATTTGGCCAGAAGATATTGGTGAGGATGGTGTTTCTTTTTTTTTCTATTTTTTTGTAGAAAAATGCCAAAACTCTTTAAAACCATATGATTTGTGTTCTCTCAATTTCTTACCAGCTATTTTGTTGATAGCAAGTCGCAGGGTTTGAATAATCTGCTGTAACTCAAAGGACTCTATAACTGCAAGGAATCCTCCCATTTCATGCTCTTTATATACTGACCATTTGTAATGTTGTTCTCTTTCAGGAGTTGATTGAAAATGTTGTAGCTTTGGCAGAGAGCACAGCTGATGAGCTGGCTCGTAGTGATGGTAGAGATGTGCGATTGGAAGAGGATCCTGATTTACAACTACCTTTCCTATTGCCTGAAGATGGATATTCTTGTGATGTTGTCAGAAACATTCCAAATGGCCTACAGGAATTTTTGGATCCACTTAACCAGAGAGGTGCTTTTAATTGCCTTGCACTTTTTACAGTGATAATAATAGAATGTTTTTAGCAGAATAGCATTGTGTTGCACGTTACAGAACACTGGTATGAACCCATTGATATTCATGCCATTAAATATGGCATTTCAGTAACTAAACTCCCTCGAATTTTCACCTAATTTGCCAAATTCTATCTACTCTATTAGAAATATTGGAAATACATGTAAATGTGAGAAGCACTGACTCGGCACCTCAATTTGTACAAATACTCACCATTTTATAAGTGAGTTTTTAACATGTGCTCAAAATCTTTTGCTTGTTTCTAAAAATATTATCCCAAGACACTTAGTGTTCAACATGAGGTTTATGCCCATGTTTACCCATTGTATCAAACAGCTTGTATAATAACTAGTGTTCCCATCGGCTTGGATTTTGAAAGGAGCATTTAGAAATTCTTCAGCAATCAATAGCAAAGTGGAAGGTTTACAAGAGCAATTTCAGGACAGGCGCCAGAAACCAAAAACTGGAAGAGGTTGCCAAGAAGGGTGGTTAGGCCAAGACACTATTTAAAAAAAACAGCTTGATGCTGTGCTGATGTTAATGGGTGTGGTATTCTGGAAAGATGAGATCAAATGGGCTAAAGAGCCTTCTTCATCTGAACCAATCTTGCTCTGAAAACCTTGTGGAGTCCTGTAGCTCAGTGGTTGGAGCACTCGCTTTGCAAGTGAGAGACCTGGGTTCAATTCCAGGCAGGGCGAAACCTTGGGCAAGTTTCCTTATTCCACACGACTGATAATAATCCCTCAAACAAAATAATAAATTGGTCATTTTCAATCCACGACTGTTTGTGGGACATTGCTGTGCGCAACTGGCTGTCGCGTTTCACCCACAAATATACAGTTAATTCACTTTACAGTATATTCTGTGAAGCACTTCGAGACATCAAGAAGACGTGAAAAGTGCTATATCAAATGCAAGGATTACTATTATTAATGTAGTTTTTTTGCTTTATAGGATGCTTGTTGGCAATTTTAAGATATAAATGCACAGAAATGCTCATTTGTACGCTCCTAAGAAATTTACAGTCATTTTCAACTTGTATTTATATAGTACCCTTCATGCAGGATACCATCTCAGAGCTCTTATTAAGCAATTGTTTGAACCTAACCAATTGTTTGAAATTGCGAATATTTCTTTCCCCTGCAGGCTTCTGTAGGCTAACGCCTCATCCACGATCACCAGGAACCTGGACAATTTACTTTGAAAGTGCTGATTATGATGTCCATTTTCCACCTGAAAACACTGAGCTGGTAGGTTGGCTCCAGAAATTGTCCTGTGCATTTCACATCTTTAAAATACATTAATGAAAACTCCCCTTGAGCAGGAAACTGAACAAAGCCATAAGGCAAAGGATACTTATTCAATATTCAGGGAAGAGCTACAAGAATAAAATGGATAAGGCTTATTTTTTTATTGATCGTTGAAGACGTCACCTTAAAAGTTCAGAGGTTACACTGGCATTACACATTAAACAAACCTGTTTTCTGTTGCTTTCACTTTTTCATGGTTCATTGAAAACATTAACCTTTCACATCTAATTGCAACGTACTTTCCAGTTCAATTATTCATTTTTCATCAAGCTTTGTGGGTGAAATCAATAAGCCAGCTGGTGAAATTTCAATCTTTTGAAAAGATCACAGACTATGTATCATGTATTCCATGTCCTTTGTTCACCTGAACTTTTACATTGACTGCATTAGTTACGTTGAGCTTGTTCTTTTGAATGTACTGATTTTTTTAAAAAAAACATTTACATCGCCCTTGTCAGTGATTTTAGTTTTTCATTTTTTTTTTGCAACTGATGTCTATGACTTCAGAATGTTGAATATGATTTCTAAATGAGTGGATTTAGTTTAAATATCACGTTTACAAGGAAACCAATTAATTGTTTCAGTTTGGATGGGATGCCATTATTTAAAGGAGTAAAAGGTTCAGTTCTATTTTCTTTTTGGAATTAGGAATAAAAGTGAATTTTCATTTGTTGAATACTGTTTGTACAGTTTTTAGGTTGTTAAAGTGATTCTAAACATTGAACTGTCATTGCTTGCTGTTATAAAACTACAGCATACCCTGCATGAACAGCTCTATATAAATGCAAGTTGTTGTAAATGCAAAATCTGACTTACTATTTTTTGTTATTGGAATATGAAACGAATTGTATACTTTTTTTAAACAAATAGTAAATGCTTCTTTGTCCTTATTCTTCCCCAGACTGATCTTAATCGTAAAGAACCAGAAGTAATTACAGTGACACTAAAGAAGCAGAATGGGATGGGCCTGAGTATTGTAGCTGCTAAGGTAAGATAACAATTTTATATAAAACAGGATGCAGAGGAAGATTGAGCTGAGTTGTAATGGAATAGCTTTAGTTTCAGCTTCCTAAGGAGCAGCAAAGCTAGGCAGTACAAGTGTGACTTAAAAGCATCTTGCGAGCGTAGGGAAAGAGTAAGGCATTTACAATAAAGGTAAACAGGTTCCTGGACCATAATGCCAAATCGGTTAGATTGGGTTCTCCAAAGTCGTTCTGATGCTGTACAGTACTCCGTTCATCCTGTGTCTGGAGTTCTATCTGGGTGTCAACACAAATTAATTTACATGGGAGTAAAGGGATGATTGAGATGATTTTTTTGACAATGTCCTTATGATATGGAATGCCCTGCCTGATGCAGTGGTCAAGGCAGGATCCATGTTAGGTTTCAAGAGGGAATTGGATAGATATCTAAATAGGCATAATTTGCAGAGGTATAGGAGAAAGACAGGTAAGTGGAACTGAATGCATTGCTCCTTCCCAAAATACAGAGCACATGAAGGACTGAATGGTCGTCTGTGCTGTAAAATTCTACGGTTTTGTAAGAGTTTTTGATTTCTGGCCAAAGGAAATATTTCCATTTAATGTCTAGCATTGTAAATAAATGCATGTTTGTGTACCGCATTAAACTTTACTCAGTTTAATTTAATTAGTATATCTTGCATGCTATTAAACACATCTTTTGCATAGAAGTCATTTGTTGCATATTCCCCAGTGGTCATAATGTTGTCTGTACAATGGTTGTATTGATAATTTATCCAGCACTTTATTTACAATCCATGTTTATTGTCTGCGATGATTTACACAAACTTTGAATCATGTTATTGATTACCTTTGAACCCTGCTGACGTAATCCAGAAGTTATCTTGTGCTTTTATAGAACAGAAACTCTACTTTATGTTAATGTTTAAAGAAGGATTAAATGATTAACAAATGTGCCTTTGACAGTTCAATGAGTATTGAGAACATAGCGTTTTGATTGGTTCAACCATATACTTCAAAACTAAACCAAGTGCAGTTCCAACCAGTAGACTGTTACTTCCCATATGTAGATTTTCAGCAATCCTCTCTGCCATTTTGGTAACAACGATGCTTTCTATCTATCCGGTAGCACTCTAGAAGTTTAAAAATATGTAACTGTTCTCAAAGGGACTTATAAACTGGGCAATTAAATCTAACCAAATAAGTATTGGGAGAATGGAAGCAGCAGTTTGTTTTTGTAAAACCTAGGTCAAAAGCCATTGCCCATAATTCAGAATCTGCAGTCTTGATTGCTGCCATTTTTATGCTTTAGAAACACTATCGTTGTATCAGTGCTTTAAGAATCCGTAGAGGGAGTTAAAGTATATTCAGCAGTGTTGAGCGATTACCTAATAGTCTAAATATGGGATATTTTATGGACAGTCCTGATAAATACCATATGGTGGTGTGTTGCATCTAGCCAAGGAATTATCTTGATCGGTGTCCTGGCAGCACGCATACAGCTTTCTGATGTCCAGAGGAGCTTTGAATAAGTGTTGTTCAGTCTTTCTTTGTAAGAACAGTCGTTTTAGGAATCCAAAATGTGGTTCTCTGTTGTTGGCAAAGCAGAACCTGTGGTAAGTAAGTTTGAAGTCCTTCAATTTATAGCGAGTTTAGAATGTTATTGTTTAAAGTTCTGATTATATGTAGTTGAACTTTCACTGTTTAATTACTTGTTGGTTTGTTGAAATTGAAAAAACGATTTTGAGTAACCGCGAATAAGTTTATATTTAAGATAATAGTCACTCTTTTCAGAAATTGTGTTTGAGCTATCTTTGGAGGTGAATGATTAAAACCATAATTTGGAAAGGTTTAGCATGAGCAGGATTAGGTCCTTTATTTTCAAAATTCATAACTGCTTGAAAAACGTATAATGAATCAGTGTAGCTTCTTTGGTTCTAACAGAGTCTAGCCAGCCTCGTAAATACATTTTTTAATTTCTGATTTGGATTTTCCTTTAGTACTCGGAGAGAACAGTGGCGGTTAATTGGCAAAACTGATGAATAAAAAATTCAGATCTGTTTGTTCAGTGGTTGCGCAAATGTGAAATTGCAAAAGTTAGACCGTCTAAGCTTATTCTAAAAAACCTTGAAGTGGTTACTTATGGAATTGATTAAATCATGCAAAGGTGGTTAGCTATGCTTACATTTTAATTTTTTTTAAATTAACAGATGAATAAATGTTGAATGAAGTCAGCACTATTTCTTGGCCTGTTTGTTCTTTAGAACTTTTATCCAAGACTGATGCATAACTAATTTTCAGTGTATGTTCATGCAGCTGGCAGCTAAGCAGACATTATAATGCTATATAATTATTCTGTGTCTGTTTAATATTTCATGTGGAGTACATGTGGTTGCAAATGTATAGCATTTTCCATATCTACATCTGTTTCAGTATTAACAAATTAATATTTTTAATAAAAATTTCCAGGAATGCTCATTTTCCTCTTTTGTGTGTATGTCCCGTCCACCATGTGAACCAAACTAATTTTAAAACCTGTTCAAATAAGTTGAGGATTTTTGAGCTAGATACTAAAACCCAAGAATTATTTTCAGACTAATAGAAACCCATTATTATGCTTAAGTATCCAAACACAGATCCGCCAATCGATTAACAACTGGATTTCTACTTACTGCTAGGTAAACAAAGGCGTGTGTGTGGAGTAAGGAACATACACTTGCCCAACGTTTCACCCTGCCGGGCATCAAACCTAGGTCTCTCGTTTGCGAGGCGAGTGCTTTAACAACTGAGCTGCAGACTCCACTAATACTGAATAGAACAGAGTTGATCCACATAGTTTCTGATTGTTAAGACAGTAAGACTGCATTAAATTCTATACCTAAGTTTGAATACCTGAATTGGCTGTTACCTGTTCCAGAGACCATTTGTTACTAAAAATAATAATAATAATCCTTACATTTGGTATAGTCACTTATGTCAGGACAACCCGACGCACTTCACAGAATATATTGTAAAACTGCAGTGACTGTATGTTTTGTGCACTGACATGGCTAAGGGTTTACTGTCTGTATATTAACAAAGCATTTTGTACTTAAGTTTCACTTTTACAAAAGTCTTTTGTGATCATTCTGCAGCAATTAGTTTTTTTGGCTTGTTGACACTAGTTAAAATACTTGCCAGAATACATTTTTTGAGCAAACTTGCTTTCTATTCTTGATTCTTAGTAGTGGCATATCCTTGACATTTGTGGTTTCTATTGGTAGCATACTGTGTAGTGCTTCCGGAATGAAGTGACTGATAATGTCAGCAGAAAACTGTTCAATAAGTGAACAATCCCAACCATGGTGGAAACCTTTGAGCATACTACTTTGTTTAGGATAGAAGATTGACCTGAAGCTTATAGAAAGATAATCTTTGATCATTGATCTAGAAATCGATCACAGAAAACTCATTTTGAGGGTAATATGCTGGGAAGCTTCTGGGAATTATCACATCTCTGAGAGTTTAAAGTAGAAAGCTGGTTTCCCACATGAGTACCAAAGCAAATATTAATCTTTAAGCTATTTGACTCTTGAAAACTCATCTCAGTTTACATCTCCACTGTTCAGCTCTGCCTTGATTTGCTCCTCACATCCAGCCCAGGAGCACAAAAGCTGTTGTTTATCTTTCCATATTTGTTCTTCTGGAGCTGATTGTTGAGCTGAATCCTTTTCCCCTCTTCTCAATCTTTTCTCTTTCGCAAAAAAGCTCAGCTTTCAAGCTGCTACTTCTACTGTAGCACTCTAAATGCCAGAATTCACTTTCTTACCAGCTGTTGCCCTTAAAATTCAGCTAAGTGTGTTTCTGAAAGACTAGCTTTATATGAGCTTCAGTGTATAAAGTGGGTCGGGTTTGATTCCATGAGATTCCATCTACTTTTGTTTTACTACCAACTGTCCTTCAACTTTCCATCCAGGCTCACTAACTCTAATTTCCCTCCCCTCCCGCTGCTGCCAGTCAGTTCTACGAAACCATTTGAGACATCTTGTGATGTGAAATGCTCAATTGTATGCAACAGCAACAACGTGCACTTATATAGCACTCTCCAGGCAGGGTAGCGTCTCAGAGCGCTTAACAGTGGCCTGACTCCGAGCCGGGGGGGGGGGGGGGGGAGTTGGGAGGTGGCCGTAGGCATGGTCAAGAAGGAAAGTTTTCAAGCGGGACTTGAAAGAGGAGGCAAGGCAGAGATTGAGGGAGAGTGTTCCAGAGTTTGGGGGCATAGTGGCTGAAAGCATGACCTCTGATGGTGGGGTGGAAAGTGCGAGGGATGAGCAGAGGAATTGGGTGGTGGATTGGAGAGTGATGAGGTCGGAGAGGTAGGAAGGTACCAGGGAGTGAATAGATTTGAACACGTGTGAGGAGTGAGAGTTATATGGGAAGAACCAATATAGATCCTACATACTTGACATAGTACGAGTATTGGAGGGGGTGATTCGTCAACAACAACTTGCCTCTTGAATTAATGGTCTTGCCCACTGGGTTCAAAAGTAATTGGCTATGGTTATTATATGAAGCCAAAGAAATTGTTTTCTTTAGTGTAGCTCTTTGTACTTTTTAATGGGTTTTCCAGTGGAAGCACCCCATGGAATCTAATCTTTCCCACATTTCTGAATCCTGGTTAGTCTTGCATAAGTTAGACCTCTCTTTAACCATGTAGAGATGTGGGTGATGGTTTCATAAAAATAATGCATTTGTTTACCAGTGGCACTTCTGTTTCTGGGTGTGGCGTAATTGATTCTGGAGGTTTTTTGGATAGGAGTATTCCCAATGCTACTGTCTAGATGTGTGCAACCTGCTCCTCTCATTGTAGGTACACTTTATGTTAAATTCTTGCCATATTGGACATATTTGGTTTGTCTTGCAAGCTGTTGGAGAAGCTCTTATTGCTATTTCTATATTTTCAGTTAACTTTTCTAATGAATTAGTCACGGCCAAACTGTTTCCTCTTGGGATATGTACTTGGCACTTACCAAGTTTATAACTGTTTTACCTTACTTGCAAGTTGGGGTTCAACAGTTTTAAATTATTATTGCATTCTCTATGTACCCTTTGCATGCTGTTCGATTATTTAAATACATTGTAAGTCATCTTGTCAGTATCTATTTCTGTAATTGAATTTAAAATCTTAAAATATATTTTTAAAAGCCTGTGAAGTTACACTGCAGAATGTCCTAGAAAAGCAACAGAACAGATGGAATGTGTTTAAATTATAATCATCTGAAGAAAAATCATTTCTGTTCTTAGCATTTTGGACACTTAACAAAAATGCTCTGGCAATGCTGATGCTAATCATGTCACTTTGTGTTCCTAATCATGTTGATTTGTGCTCCTAACAAAGCTTTGTTTTTTGTGATGTTGAAAAGGGCTTCAGTGTTGGAAATAGCTTTAATCAGGTTGAAGTTATCTCAAAATCAAAATGCTGCCAATTGTTGTATTCTTTTAACAATAAACGTAAAGCTATTGCATCATTTAGCACAATAAGGTCTACTTAATACATGCAAAACATCTGCTCAGCTTTTCTTTGTACTTTGCATTGGGAATGAGGACATATTCCAAACCACATTATGTTTTTTTTGTAATTGTTGGATTATTTTAAATGATTCCAATTTTGCCAGCACTTATTTGCAAAATGGAATGGTAGTACGTAGTTGCAGTAAGTTGTCCATACCGTGAAATTTATCTTCTATTGTCCTTTCAGAGTTTACAACTCATTGTTACTTCTATTTATAATGCTGTTGTATGCTCTTGTTTATTCAAGGTGTATTTTTGTTGAGACTTTTTATACCAAAGCACACATTTGTGATGTATAATTAAAATATTCAAATAAACCAATTCATTTTAGCAGCATATTTGACGTTCACTGAATCATTTTTTACATTCTGAATGTTTTTGATCTGGGTTATTGGTACTAATATACTGTGGAGAAAAAGCATCAAAGTGCATTTTGAGTCTTTTCTGCATAGTGCTTTTTAAACAAATATCCAAGGTTAAAATATGTGTTCTTTTAGCTTGTTGGAAGTTTTTTTATATGAATATTGATTATATTTCTTCCAATCTTCAGGGTGCTGGGCAAGATAAATTAGGAATCTATGTAAAATCGGTTGTGAAAGGCGGAGCTGCAGACATAGTAAGTAGACTTGATCATTCATGTCCTAACAAATTTGACATCCATTACTGGACAAAATAATATAGCTATAACAAGTGATAAGGATATTTCATTCGTATGGTATGGACTTTGAAGACGCTTTTGGCATTGTATCCTGAAGGCGATATTTTGTGAAAACTGTTCCTGGTTGACAATATAATTCCTTTAATGCAATTCATGTTTAGTAATAGCTGTTTATGGAATTTTGTTATGTGCTAAATGGCAGCTGTATCCAATACAAGATTTCAGTATCCTCACACGCACCAAATTCCACAATTTCATCAGGACAATCCTAGCCAAGTTTCACTGTCTCCCTGTCTCCAAACGGATTGACTTCATGATTCTCACATTGTATACAAATACCATCAATGCCATAGTACCTCCCTACCTCTATGACCTGCTCATACCCTACTCCTCCATTGTCCCCTTTGCTCTGTTAACACAGTCTGCTTCACGTCCGCATCCCTCACTGGCCATGCCTTCAGCCAATATGCCTCTGATCTGTGGAACTGCCTTCCAGCTTGCCCCTTATATTTAAAGCCCACCTGAAGACCTTCCTCTTTGACCATGCCTATGATCACCTTCCCTTTCTCCCTTGCTTGGCATCCAACCCCACCACGGTACTGCGAATGGAGATCCTATCCTACATGAAGGGCTACATTAATGCAAATTGTTGCTATTGTATATGGGACTGTATTTACCTACATGTTTTGACGTTATATTCTTAAAATGCAAGAGCTTCTTCTGTTGTCTGTTATCCTAATATCTTTATTTGTTTTCAGGATGGGCGTTTGGCAGCAGGAGATCAATTGCTCAGTGTAGATGGACGAAGCCTTGTGGGCCTCTCACAAGAAAGGTAAAATTATTCTGCTTGACAAATGACATTCAAAGATAAAATTGCTGTTTTATTAATGTTTCAAAAGCAATGATTATTGTAACCAAATAGCCTAAGATATGCAGTATTTGAATTTGCAACTCATGCAATCTGTCGGGGATAATATGATAGTCCAAATGTTGTATCTGCACTGCAGTGTGGCAGGATACAGCTTGGCCTCATGATTTTCCTTTGAGTTACTGATTTCACAGTCCTTTAAACGAACCCGTGGAGCAGAATTCAGAAGTTTCCCTTGGGATATTTTTCTTCCATATGAGTCATAGAGTAGTAGAGGTGGGACCAGGCAATTGGTTTGTGATTTTACGACGGTTTGTGGGACGTTGCTATGCGCAATTGGCTGCTGCATTCCGCCCACAAAATATTCAGTCAAATCACTTTATACTATATTTTATGAAGCGCTTTGAGACATCTCAATGAAGTAATAAGTGCTATGTAAAATGCACAAATTATTATTGTTATTATTGTCTGGTTGCTGGCTTAGTTGGAGATGATAATATAAATTGTCTTACAAAAACATAGTTGTTGTATTTTATGTCTAAAATAATTGACTATTGATTTAAAATTTGATTGTAACTTTAATAATAAAAGTCATAATTTTCACTTTTGATGTAGTACCCCATTATGTCACCAAACGTCTCATTGCTTCTCAAAGTAAAGTTGTGACTGAATTTATAATTTGTGCACAGACGGGAAATGAATGGCCAATCTTTTTATGATCGTTTTATATTGGTCAGGAGAAATGCCCTTCTTTTTGAATAGAACCATGGCATCTTTTAACATCATCTGAACAGGCAGATGAGACCTTGGTTTAAGATCTCATCCAAAGAATGCAGTCTCTTAACAATGTGGTCCCCCCATGCCTTCCCCCGTGCTGCAATGAAGTGTGAGCTCAAGTTCCAACATGGAGCTTGGACCACAACTTTCTGACTCAGATGAAAATGCTATCAACTTAGCCAAGCTGCTACCTGACCTCCAGGGTTGTTTTGCCTTGTTTTTAAGGCAAGGCACAGCAATGCTAGAAAATGTTGTGTAATTTTGCATTCAGCTTCTGGTAGACAAACATTTTTCGTTTTCAGGGCTGCAGAACTTATGACTAGAACAGGTTCAGTCGTCACCTTGGAAGTAGCAAGACAAGGAGCTATTTACCACGGTTGGCCACACTGCTCAATCAACCTTCTCCAATGATGCAAAGAGGTGACAATATTTTAATTCCAAACTAGGAGATTTAATTGAGTAGAACCATAAGCATAGTATTGGTCAGGCAGTCTGTCTTGTTTTCCCTCCTTCAGTTGAAAAAGATGATTAAAACTTTTAAGATGAATTCCTGTTTACCAGAAAAAAAGATCTGATTGATTAGACACAACATGCTTAAATTTGATACATATATATTATATTATTATGAAGGAAGATAACTTTATATTATGAAGGAAGATAACTTTATATTATGAAGGAAGATAACTTTATATTATGAAGGAAGATAACTTTACAGTACTGTACCCTCACTATTAGCGTGTAAGTATTAACTCACTCTGCTGACATGTGGGATCGATCGATTTGTACCTGAACAGAAATTCACATGCAGATCATTGGAACCATCTAATTAGTCTTACTATCTGAGGAAATCACATGTGTGCTGGTGAGGGTCAGATTTTAGTAAAAACAAAATTCTCTTATTTGTGAATTGTGGAGAGGTTGACTAGATTCAGGCAGGATTTCATTTACTGAACGTTTTAAATTTGTGATATTGAAAATCACTATTAGGATACCAAAATACCATCATAAATATTTTAACTGCTGTAGATATTAGCAAAACAATAGCCATCTCGAAATCCCCAACTACCACATTTCCACAGATAATTGTGAAGAGCAATGTAATATCTATTATCTAGCCCTGTCTATTGAAGACTGTTAATTGAAACATCTCTCCCCCCACCCCCCAAACTCCACCATTCTCTTTCTCAATTACAGCCTCTGATCGTCGTGGCGCAGGCAAGCCTCGTCCAAAGAGTGAAGGTTTTGAACTGTATAACAATGCTCCCCAGAATGGCACACCTGAAAACACTCAAATGGGTTGGAATGAATACACAGAACCAAAGAAAGTATCTGGGGACGAGAGACTGATGAAAAACCGAGCAGACCATCGATCGAGTCCCAATGTAGCAAGTAAGCACTGCAAACCTTGACCTATGTTTGTGGCCATGTTCAAAAAGTATGCGGTATTGTGAAGCAGTCAGTTACAATCTTACTACCTGAGAAAGATGTAATTAATGGAATCAAAGTGTTCTTCACATACTAAGAACATAAGGCATGAAATTAGAGATGTATCCATCCTGTTTCTTCCACAAACTATATACTGTAAATACAAAATTTGCCCTATCATTGAATCTAACCCATTCAATTGGCATCTCTTTAAAGAAATGAACCAACTCATTTGACCTACTTTTTGGGTAGTGTGTTCACCTCACTATAACTTTGCGGGAAGAAAGCACAACATCTAACATCTAATCTCATTTCAGGCTTGTTAATTTAAAATTTGTGTTTTAACATTGTATGCTGTAATGCACACACTCAAATCAGAGAGCTTGTTTAGTCATACAACATTCTACATTTTAGAAATCTGGATCAAGTCTATTTTCCTCACCCATTCCCAATATTTTTCTCCAAAGAAACTAATCCTATACCTTTATACTTTTGTGATCCAGTTCCAAATTGATTAATGTAGTAGCCATGAGTTCAGTAGTAACCATTCAGTTGCTAAGCAAATATTCTTAGATCTGATGACTTTTTATTACTGCATATCAAATTGGAAATTCGGAGCTAATTTTGAACACAGTCTCTATGTTCCTAATAATTCATTTGATGAATGCTAATGTAAATGATAAATATTGTATTCAATTGTTAACGTTTCTTTTTTTACTAAAAAGACCAACCTCCAAGCCCTGGGGCACAACCTGTATATTCCAGTGCACCTACCTCCAAAATTCAGTCTGTCTCCACTGGAAACCTTTGCACTGAGGTCAGTATACCAGTATGTGGTTTAATTCATTAATGATGTATATGTAAAAAGTGTAATCAATTTGTTTTAGGTTTTTAATGCAGAGAAGTAAGGGTTCATGACTTTCTGTATATAATAATAATCCTTGCATGTGAAATAGAGCCTTTCATGTCAAGGGGATGTCTAAAAGCACCACAGAATTTACTGTAAAATGTAGTTAATGACTGTTTTGTAAGCAAACTTGTCAGCATGGCACACAATTGATGCATTTCTGACAATCAGGGTGTTTCTGATTTTTTTGCAGTTAAGTATATCATTCAAATGAACTAAAACTATTTCTCATTCAACATTACAGCACGTCCATACTGGAAAGATGTAAATTAATGTGATTATTGATTTGTGTTGATCTTTGGAAATAGGTTATCGTGTCTGGAAATAAGTTTAGCCACGTGGTCTAAAGTCTGTTATTCAAAATAATTGATTTTTATTTTTTTTCCTGCCTTCTAGGTATCTGTGTATTGCATTTTATCTGTTAGTTACTGGTAATCCATCCACTCAGGACCACCCCTCTTCATGTCATTGTGCATTAACTGCATGGAATGCAGTGGTAAAAACTTAGATGAATAAAACGGAGTAAAATAACCCTATGGGATCTCCAGTTTTCGATATAAAGTGACTTTACAGCTCTAATGTGATTCTGGGATTCCGAGATCGGTTGTAAACTACTTGAACTTTGTTGTCAAAGTTTGATTTCTTAATCATTAATAACTTAATCACTCTGTGAAATCATTTATTCTGTGTAAGTTGTAAACAATGGAGAAATAATTATTCACTAATGTCTGAGTAATAACTCCATGAAGCAAATGATGTGGCTAATGATTAAAGTACATTATTTTGACCTTCAGTTTGGCTGGTTGACATGCGCTTTAAAGCTTTAAGAGGATTACTCTAACCATTCAAGTAGTAATCCTTTGTGACATTACATCATCTGCTAGTCAACGTGCTGTATAACCTTTGTTTGCCTAGTATGTATCGCTTTTTTTGAAGAGTTACATTTACAGCAAAATTGGCAGTGAAAACTTACTTTGAAATAACTATTTCTTGATTTCACGACTAATATTTTTTTCTAAATTGATGTTTAAGCTTACAAGAGTTACATTTACAACAAATTTGGCAGTAAAAACTTATCTTTACACTCAGACAGCAACTAGTCCCATAGGCTTTCTGAAGTAAACGTTACCTTCCAAATCTATAGCAGTGTTTGCTGCACTGATGAGAGGAACTTCCAATACGTGACAGAATTAACAGAATCTGTGTACCCTCTGTAAATCAATAAATGAATCAATAAATAAATATTTTAAAAATCCCTAATAAGCTATTAAACACAAAATGTGTTTGATGTTAGTCAGCCAGTCAGGGGGTAGAGGTGAGATTCTTCCTAAGGCAAAGAAATGAAGATTGACACATTAACTGACTCGTTTCACTGGTTATAAACGTTCATTTGAAGTGGATAGTGTGAAGTGGTTCAGGGTAGGAATTTTAGCTAAAAGTCCATTTAGCACAAAAATGTAACCTGAAGTAGAACAATTTGAATGGGGGTGGGAATAGATCTTGTGTTGAAAATACTGAAATACTGTTTACCCACCGCTTGTTCGGAAAAAAAATACTTTTGAACTTTCAATAAGCAATGTTTTATGCATGACATTTCCCTGTAACTTGTAAACTATTTATATCTAGTATTATTAATTCATGAAAAATGAGAGAATACTTGCTGATTGTTCAGTTAGCAAATTACTACTTATGCTTTTAGGAGCAGCAACTACCCTCGAGACCTGAAGCTTATCCAATTCCTACACAAACATACACTAGAGAATACTTCACCTTCCCATCGTCCAAATCCCAGGACAGAGTGAGTCCTGGTCCAGGGCAGTGGCCAAGCTATGATGAAAGGACATTGATGCAAGATCAACACTACAGTGGTACTGATGTGCAGGTGAGACATTATTGATAAAATCAAGTTGTCTAAACAGTAAATCAAAGAAAATATTAAATATGTTACAGAGGTTAAGATAAACAACAAAGAAGCTCTGCACTTGTATGCTGGCAAGGGAGTGCTAGAAAATCTTTCACATGGTGATTTGCTGATCTTTATCTTAGTGATCCAAAGAATGGAGATGAAGTTTACCCTCGAGGAATGATTTCGCCAAGTATTGTCTCAGAAGAAATAAATAACCAAATAACTTCTGTTGAGGCAGCTTATAAAATAACTTAACAATTGGTGTTCTAGGGTAACTGTTTTTGACCTGTTTGTAGAGGTTGTTAATGAATATTTATAAAAGTGAGATGGCTTCTAATATCTGATGGTTATAAAGATTAAATGTAACATATTTTGTGTCCTGGACTACTGCAGTGCTGTCAGAACAGCAGATCAGTGTAGCTCTGGTCTGAGTCTGAATGTGGTATAGAGCTGACGCCTCATACAACAAGCTCTGTGCCACATTTGCCAAATGGACTCCAAAGCTATTTGTGTTGTGTCCAAGCATTGCAAAAGTTGGACTCTCTAGTGGCACAGTGAAGGATTTATGACTGGTGTTAGCTTAGGAAGTGAAGGAAGACTGGAGGACGAGTCAACCTACAGACTGGATGATTATTTTCTCAGATACAAACTTCTTTTCCACTATTGGTCCCCTCTCTGGTCCTCAGTTGTGGTAATGCTGCACTATTTGTACAGAATACTTGGACAGAAATCATTAGTAGAGAAGTCATGTTTCTGACTTTTGTAATTACCATATAATTAAATTTTATCTACAAAATATATTTTTCGGAGTTATACATAGCATTCCGGTATATAGGAACTGCTAGCGGAAAAAAGACCAACAGCAATCTAGTTTGCTTTCTACCATCCTCATCATCACATGCTACTATAATAATGGAGATGCTGACTAATCATGGCAATCAATCTTTATTGATTAGTCTACAAAAGACTTGGGCATGAGGTGAGGAAAACCCACCAGTAGTGGAAACCTTTAAAGATCATAATAATAATAATCCTTGTATTTGATATAGGGTCTTATCACATCTTCCAGACGTCTCAAAGTGCTTCACAGAATATACTGTAAAGTGAATTGACTATATATTTTGTGGCCAATTGCGCACAGCAGTGTCCCACAAACAGTCGTGGATTGAGTGACCAAATTATTATTTTTTCAAGGAATTATTACCATAGGTCCAAAGTTGCCTGTTTCTCCCAAGTGTACTACTCTTGCTATATATATGTTGCATCTCAAATTACTCAAACTGTATTTCCAAACTTATTTATTATATTTGTGGTTCTGCAGTTCAGAATGTTTTCAATGGCAGCAGATGACCAATTCATTGATCAAGTGCCCAACAGTTGCACATAGCCTATGAATTAAAAATCAGTGACATATCAAACTTTGCCAATTTTTTTTGATAATTGAATAAAAAATGGTGTTTTTTAAAATGCAGCGTGGAAGTCGCTCACAAGAGGAACTACACGAGAAACATTTCTTCCCAGAAAAGGTGAGGCCAGAAGATCTCCGCAGAGATATTGAATTTCCAAAAGACTTGGATCGTAAATCTGACACTTGGGCTAATCAAGGTTCCTCGATGGATTCTAGCACATCAAGTCAAGAGCAGTTGAACTATTCCAAACCATTTCCATCCAATGCTAATGCTCCTCATAAGAGTGGTCCTGGACGCTGGAAAACTCCAATTCCTAATCAAGCTACTCCAGTTGCTGTCTCCCAGCCAATTAGAGTAGACAGTCAGCTACCACCTCCTCCTCCACCACCACCAGTGCATTATGCAGTTGATTTTGATGATACCCAGACTGACCTGCCGCTGCCTCCTCCACCCCCTCCCCCTCCAGTCTCCCAAGTTTCAATTCACGGTTCGGCTGTTGATCGTAGGAAGAGAGATGAACAGCAGCGCTGGTATGAGAAAGAAAAGGCACGGTTGGAGGAAGAACGGGAAAGGAAACGCCGTGAACAGGATAGGAAAATTGGCCAGATACGTGGCCAACCACCAATTCATATCAGTACAGCCCAACCTGTTCATGCTGCTCCGGCAAACCAACATATAAGACAAGAAAAAACTCTTCCACGATCTCACGAAACAGTCATCCGTGAGTTACAACCACAAAAGCAGCCTCGTACAATTGAACGCAAGGACTTGCAGTACATTACAATTAGTAAAGAACAGTTGTCTGGGGGTGACAGCCTTTCACCTGATCCTTGGAAGCGGGATGCAAAGGAAAAAATGGAGAAACAAAAACAGCAACACGTCTTGGAAATGCTGAGCAAAGAGATACAGGAACTACAAAACAAAGCTGACCGTACATCTGAGGAGAACGACCGTCTTCGTAAACTCATGCTAGAGTGGCAGTTTCAGAAACGCCTCCAGGAGTCCAAAGAGAAAGACGATGATGACGATGATGATGAGGAAGAAGATGACGATGTGGACACAACACTTATTATGCAGAGACTAGAACTGCAAAGACGTGCAAGGGTAAGGATAATTATAGAGTAACTACAATGAATCTTTGGAGTATTAAAGTGGGATGTTTCTGTACAGTTTGGGCCTATTATGGCAGAGAAGTAACTTGTTATAAAGCAAGTGTACTTTTGACTCATTTTATCAAATATTTAAGCATCTCAAGAAATCTTTAGAATTAAATTAGTTACTGCATGCGTCTTTTGATGTGCCTTTTTTGTATATGTGTATATATATATATAAAAAATACTTTTGTTCAACATCCTAAAGGATATTAGAATAGTGTTTTCTCATATTCAGTCACTTCACTACCCAAGAGTAGGAAATTCAAAATCAGTAGGAATTAATTGCCTTTTACCCGTTTATCAGTGTACTTTATAATAGAAAATTATACTGAAAATCTAATAGTCGCATGTTCTCACAAATTTAAGTGTTTTCACAGCTTGAAGTTAATAAAGGAGGAGCTGACAGGACCTGAATCTCATGGGTCATTGCCCTGAAATTTAAAATGAGGTTTAGTAATAGAAATTATAAATGTGATTGTTGTCCCGCAGAGTCTGTTTTATGAGGTTGTAGAGAAAGGCAAAGCTTCACAGGAAACTCCACATGGGAGATGACGAACCTTGAAATGTATTCTATGGCCTTTCTGACTACTCTTGTGTTTACCTTCACTGGTGAATAAGTACTAATTTGATCCCTGTTTGTTTTTTAATTTAAGGTTGACTGCCTTTCTTGGCTAAATTCTCTTGAATTTGACAGACGCAGAACTCTTTCAACTACAAAAAGATGATTTCAGTGCTCTTGAATGAAAGAGATTTCTAATTTTATCTGACATTCAAGCTTGAAATGATTATTCTTACCCTGTCTGAACTAATGATGTTGCTCTGTCCCTCCTTTCCATTCTTGTTTCTGCTGCAGACTGTTCCAGCCATCTCAGTTCTAGATTTGGTATGTTGTTTCTTGCTTAAAGTTTTTCCTGCCTGTTCTCTTCTTTACGCACTGTCTGGATCATTTCTGGTTCTGGAAACTGCAGCTGAAGGCAGTAATTCTTTTTCTAATTGTCTGGTTGTAAAAATGCCAAATGCTACGTACGTATGTTTGCCTTTTATTTGCATGTGATTTTCATCCTCCCTGTTCATGATGTGTGGGTTTCAAGCATGCTTGTCTTGTTGACAATTTGGAGCTAGGATCTAAATGTGTAGGAACAATCTTACACAAGAATTAGTATTGTGATGCATCCCATATCCAGCACTTTCAATATGATAAATATATTTACCATCCAATTGATTCCAATATTCTAAATTCATTCTTTAACATTTTTCTCAACTAACATTTTCATGTAACTTCTGAAGAAAGCCATATGTCGTTAAATCTCCAGTTGTTACCATACATTGACAGCTGTTTTTTCAAAAAAAATCTTTTCAACATAAGTTTTGTTTTTCATAGTGTAAAATACCCAGTTCCTTTCTTTACTCCTTCAGAGTCACAGACATGTACAAAATACACTCCCATTTTATTTTCTATTCATAAAAATCTCCCCAAGTATGCGGAAGACACACAAATCTACTTCTCCTCCAGCTGTGAATCCAGTTCTTCCGATGTTCTCTCGATTTGTCTGGCGGACATCAGGACCTGGATGAATGAAAACATCCTACACTAAATGTTGACAAGTTGGAAGCCATACTCCTTGGCCCCCGACGTCTTCTGACCTGCGGCTCTGACCTCCTCAACCTCCCCAGCCTATCCCTCAAACTTACCAATCCAGCGCGCAACCTAGGCGCCAGGTTCGACCCACAGCTGTCCTTCCTTCCCCACATTCGACCCTCTATACCTCCGCCTTGCCCCTTCCTTCTCCGTCTTCAGGTCATGCCTGAAGACCGTCCTCTTCGACCGTACCTACAGTTACCTCCCCCTCTCCCCCGGCTCGGCGTCATGCTCTGGCACACTACCCTGCATGAGGGGCACTAGATAAATGCAAGTTATTGTTGTTGTAATTCATAGCAGCATGGCTCACATCAAAGGCTTCAGGAGTTGGATATGGAAGCTGCATGCTTGCCATTCTAAATTTCAACTGTTCAGTGCTTTTTATGACCCAAACTATAATTTTTATGCGATTGTTCACAGTTTGATCAGTGTCCATGATTTGGAAATTTAGAAAATGGTGTTGGGAAAATTAATGGATTACATACAGTATTTGGGCGTGTTTCTTTACAAGCCATTATCGATCTCAGGTGTTTTATTGTGAGACTGATGCTTGTCACAGGGAAACTGATTCACAAGTTTCAGGGTGTCATTGGGAAAGGGTTTGGGGTTGACAGGTTAGGGATCAAGTTGCATTGTCAAAAAATTGCCTTTATATTAAATATTTGTTTCAATTGAACAGCCTATATAAGTAATAATAATCCTCTGATATTTTGGTGTGAAATGTATCTTTCTGTAAGCGAATAGGGCTTATTTAAGATATGTTGGTACCTACCTACATGATATAAAGGTGCGTATAAATTATGCAGAGGGCCCTGTATTTGCCAGAGCTAAAATTGCTGGCAGTTTATTCATTATGATTTCATTCAGGCATTTCTAGTTTGTTTAATAGTTGTGAATGTGTTCTATTTTCAGTTGAAACAAAAGCAAATATGAATGTAGTGGTGGTTGGCAATAAAAATAAATTGCATAATATGCAAAGCATTTTTCATACAAATTGTCATGAGGTAAAGGTGATCTGCTTTTGTCCTGTTCCATTTAGGCTGCTTTGAGTACGGTTTCTCCCTAAGAGAAGCAATAACAATATGACTTGAGTAGCATAGACTAATTTAGGAGGTGTTTCTGTGGCAGATTTTATGGAACTAACTATGCAAGTCCAATTCTGGCCAAACTCTAAACATTGACATAGATCTGGTATCTTAGAAATTGGAAATCTGAGAAATTAAGGTTTTGCTCTACATTTGGCATTTTCACTGAAAATGAAAGTAATGCAGCAACTACAAATTTGTTGTAACTGGGTTATAAGTTACCAGTACATGTTACATATGCAAACAAGCCTTAACATATTAAAAGAAATTTAACAAATCGTTACCTAATTACAGTTACAAGATGAGGAACGCAGGCGTCATGAGCAGCTTGAAGATATTCGGAAGCGAGAAGCAGAGGAGAGAGCAAGGCAAGATGATGAGCGTCATCGTCAAGAAGAGGATCGAAACAGAAGAGAAACTGCTGAGAAGGTTGTAAAGAATTTTATTATTTTATATTGACATTCTTTTACCCTATTTTCTCTCCTTGCAAGTATTCACTTATGAAGTGGTTCACAAGCACCCTATTCCCAAGTCATCGCAAATACTGCTGTTAATGTAATGTCATATTGCAAATGAATTGTATAATCCACCTCTAAAATATTACCAAAAGTGGCCCCCATCAGGTTTGCTAGCATTATCTTTTCCAATACAGTCTTTTAGTGTGAGTGGTGGCCTCCATTTGATGCCTTCCACAAGATTGAGATCTCAACTAAAGAATTTGGTCCAAACTTACATTGGTCTTGCTTTGTGGGGGATCTGTTTGGTGCCTCCCACAGCACTAAGGCACTCAAGAGATGGAGAATTGAAACTATAACCTGCTGCTCTGCAGCATAAACTGTAATTTAGTTGATTCAATTTCTCTACTGATTACTTAATTCATTTTCCTATTTTCATAGTATAAATGCGCTCTCTTTTTATGTAACAGTCATTTTGGTTAAAGTAAAATGACTGCACTTTGTTTGTACTAAATGCACAAAACGACTCTCCCAAATGGCATCAGTTTGTTCTTCACGCAAACTTGTTGATGGGTTTCAATGCTGGTATTGACTTGAGTTGGCTTTTGTCTGATATATACCAGGTCACAAGGATGATTATCCTAAACCAGCACTAAACTAATCATCTCATCGCATGGTGGGTTAATTCCTGGAGGCTGATTTGTGAAGTAATATCTGGATTAGGAACTGAGGGTGGCTTAGTACCTATATTTCTATGGCTCATAATTGTTTGGGGATGTGAAGATGCAAACAGGAGATGCAGATTTTCTTTTCTAGTGACAGGAAGTTAAGTTCAAGAAAATGTTGGCAATAAATTTTCCTGTTGACTCCTAACCAAAGTGGAGTCCTAAACCTAAGCTTTTAGCATAGACTGGTTTTCCACTTGCATCTTTCCAGATTTATTAATCTGACATTGATAAATCTGTTGTTCTTAGTGCATTTGGTTAGGAGTCAAGGGAACCAAGGGGAAAGAAAGATGCATTTTGAATTCAGATGTTCTAACAGAACTTTATTTTCTGTAGAGAAGACAGGAAGAGGAGTATTACACACGATTGGAGGCTGAGAGGCGTAGACAGCAGGAAGAAGCTGAGAGGAAGTTTCTACAACCTGATGAACCTGGTCTGTACAGGCCTCCCCTTCCACGGGACTATGCTTCTGAAACCCAGCAGTATGAGTTCCCTCTCCCACCCTCTTCATCTAACGCTCCCCCCCCTCCTCAAAGAAACATCTCCTCTTTCATCAAAACACAGATCGTCTCCCCTGATGCAGTTTACACTGCCAAGTTTGTCCCATACAATGAGGATGAGGAAGATGCAAATCTTTCAGGTCAGGATAAGTACTCCAGCACAAGAAAGTCGTATGGTGATCTCCCTCCTGCCCCTAAGCAGCCGCCACCCATTCGTCAGCCCCGCCCGGTTTCAGACGGCTACTATCTTTCAAACTCATTCCGACCACCATCAGCCAATGCCAACAGTACTGCTCCAAAAGTTGGTGTGCCCCCTCCCCCTCCATCCAAACCGAGCTTCATGACGCAGACTGGTTTGAAAGGTAGAGAGAAGTACAAGTAACCTTTTTAAACCTTGTTTCTTTAGTTTGGATTTTTCGAAGCACTTCCAATTGCCTTAATGGTATAATCTGATTGTTTCCTGATTATACAAATCTCTTTTCTTCCAAATTAACCTTAAAATTTTCACTTGATTCTGGATCTGGTAATGAACCAGTTTACCTTAAATCCCTGAATATTCTCTTTCAATTTCTTATCTTCAGATTCTCCTGTCCTTACATTTTAGTTGCACTCCCTTAATATTCTTGATAGATATCTGATTCCTAATTATATTTTTACGTTGTTCAATCAAAGTACTGTTGGTTTTGGCTTTGATTTTGTTCTGTTCTGTGACTGAATGCACCCCAAAATGTCTCTCCATATACTACAAGAGAATGTGGTACTTTTAACATGAAAGTATGCTTCAGTTTTTTCAGAGTTTTTGAGGAATTTCAAGCCTTGACTTTTAGTATCCAAATGGCAAAGGGGAATTGATCTGGTGTGACGTGAATAAGCATTATAAGTAAAAGTTGTGAGGAGATTCAAATTGTTAAGCATAAATGTGTGTTTCTTACCCAAAAGAAATAAACTATTTAACCAGTCTTCATCATATAAATGGACTTTATTTAATGGCAATAGATGATTGAAGGCTTCACAACTTTTTACAAATAATGCTTTGAATGCAATATGGTTGCAAAATATACAATCCATATTACATTCACATTCTCTTTTAATCATCACATAACCTTTTCATCTATCAAAAACATTTGCTATATCATAAAGTCTTTCCTTAATCACCCGCTGGGCTGTTTTAAAATTTAAACTAACGTCATAGTTGAATGATAGTAAATGAACATCTGTGGTTTAAATTTAGGGGGCAAAGTGAAGCATTGCTAAACTCATTCCACACTTCAGAATGTTATTCATTGTAATTGAGATTGAACAATTGTGTTTAAAAAAAAGTTTAAAGAGCTGTAGTCATTGAGTATATATCTAATAGTATAAATATAATTATTTATACATTAGTATAATTTTTTTTAAAAAAATCAGATTTTGGAGGTAACTGGAGATGCAAAGGAAAAGTCTTTTACTATAGTTCTTTAATTACATTTTGACTTGGCTCTTACATTCCTGCCCCAACTTTAAAATAAGCATTTTATAGAACAGCTTAGACAGATGTCAAGCTGAATGATCTTTAATAAAGTAAGATCTAAAGTACTTCCCTAAATAAACAAATCTTACGATGTGGAATTCCATAATGGTTAGCATGAGCAACACTTATAGTTTATTTTACTACCATTCAATTTCAAGACTCACTGACTGAATCTATGTCCATATTTGTTTGTTTTTTGCATGTTCATTCGTATTATGCATAATTGTTTGATTTTGCTTTTTCCAGTTGTGGCATGAGTCTTTCAAATTAAATACTGAATTTATTTATTAGGGCTCAATACGTACGGAGGATCTAACACAAATGTCGTTGGAGCAAATGAAGTTTACAAAGGCCCAAGAGAGAAACGTCTCGAGCAGAATAAAGGGTGAGTTTAAAAAGGAGTTGTCAGTATTGGAAAAACTGACCTGCAAGAAACCATCTTAATGCAATCTTTATTGCACCACATAATGCAAACATCAAATGCATGTATTGCACATAGTACACATTTGTAACAATTATTAATTAGAATTTATGACTGAACTCAAACTATTAAATGTACAAAATTCTTTAAATTAAAAACATTCAGAATAGGAGATAGTTTTTAGTCCCAGGGTACACTCAACTGGTATCTTACTAGTCAGTGTTCACAATGGCAAGCTGGTTAAACTCCCAACACAATGAGGTCCTTGGCTCTTGCCAACTTGCACCAGCACTTTCCAGGATTAGGTGAACAGGATACTCTGGGGAAGCGTGCATTTTCCATTTTGCATATATGGAATGCTCAGTGGTTTGGTTTGGATACTTGTAAGCACAGTTATGGGTTTCTCTATGAGACTACCAGCTGATGGGGAGGTGGGGGGGAGAATCATGTTAAGTTCTTTAAACAGAAAGCAGGGTTCAGTCCAACAAATGGATAGAGACCTCAAACATTTTTATTGCAATATTTCAGAAATTCAGGGAACAGGAGAGAAGAAATTTGATCTAATTTGGGGGCTAGTTCCCTATTTGGATGGTTACTCATTTCAATATTGTTACTTAAGAAGAGGCCTTCCTGTGTTGTCCTGAGCATTTGGGGAAAAAAAGGATTGGTCACATACACAAGAGTACAATTGGTGATATTTAACAATTAAGTAGCTGTAATGTATATTTGCTGAAAAACAAATATAGTCCATTATAAAAGTAATAAATCTTGAATGGAATTGGACATTTGTGGTGCATTAATTTACTTTTCTTTTCAGCAGTCAAGACCCAGATGCACCAGTGAAAGGATCTCCAGAAAACTTAACTTTTAAAGAGCGCCAACGTCTGTTCTCACATGGTCAAGATATTTCCAACAAGGTGAAGGCATCAAGAAGGCTGATGGAGATAGAAAATGAGCTGAACACAAAGTGAAATTGGAGCCTTAGTAAGTTTTCAATGCAAAGTCAGTACAAATTATGTCAATGCTACCTTGTATAGAGTGTTGAAATCTTTGATTATTGAAACTGTAAAATAGGATATGGGATTTGAAAATACCAATGTGGTGGTTAGTTACATACCAACAACATAATTTAGCTATACAAATTGAACATAGTAAAATGTTTTTTTTAAAAAAATGCATAAAGGTAATGGTCACTCTTAAAATTTTTAGGGTTCTGTTTTTCTGGATTACACTAACTGAATACACTACACCAAGAGAAAATTTATGATGAAGCAAAACTATAGTATACACAACTGTTAACTTGTTATGACTTGGAAGCTTTTACATGTGTTAAAGGATTCTTTGGTTGTCCAGCAGCTGGTACCTCAGTTGTTTCAGCTATGCATTAGGTGGCTATTAAGTTGGAAGTATGCACTTTATTCCACTTAATAAAACAGAGAGGGAAAAAAGCTTCTATGTGCAGTTTTAATAGAAATTGTTTCCAACCAAAATTTCCTCTTAGCTAGATGTTTTAAACTGGACTTTAAAGTTATTGACAATTTTCTGTAAAATATTGTGGTCTTTAATTGTATTTAGGGTAATTGCACACTTCTAAAGGTAGAGTAGATTTCCACTGCCTTAGGAATGGAATCACTTTAATTTGAAATGTACAATAAATCAAATGTCTAATGAAGATTGGAGTGTAAATATTTTTTTTACTTGTTGAACCATTTCTTATTTGGAACAGAAGCAATGTGCTATACAATTTCAACTGTGCAACATGAAGCAGTATAGAAAGTAAATGGTGTAAACCTCTTTTTCCCCCTCCCTCCTCCACGCCACCCCACCATGAAGGAAAAAAAATGGAGCTTGCAATATGTGAAGATTAGCAAACGGTTGGGCGATTGCCAGACTCCTGAATACTAGCAGCAGTGCACAGACAGCTGGAACAAGTTAATATTTTATAAACACATTGCTGTTGTCTTCATGCCACTGGATATTCAGAGCTAAACTGGGAGGAAAACTGTTATTTTTCATAAATGTTTTTCATGGGCTCTGTTGGGTTTACAGAGTTCTTTGTGTGGTTATCACTAGAGCGCTGTAATTTAAATTGTGTGTTTATTACTGAGAACATCTGAACTGCTGTAGTATCTTATTTCTACTGTATTTCACTTGCAACCTATTTTTAATAAACTACTTTGTATGTATTCAAAAAGGTCTTGTCCTACTTCCGCCACATTAACTGTTAAAGCTGCAAACCAAAGCCTGAACATGTATAGTCCTAACTGGACAAGAGGTAGGACGTCTCCCAGACGTAGGTCAGTAGATTATTTGACCAAAGAAGACACCGCAGCCAAGATCAATCCTAACCTCAGCCGATATCCACATGTGCACTTTCTAGTAGGGGCAAGCTGATAGAGATTAGAAGCAAGAGATATATGCAGTCTTGTGCAATTTGGACTTGAGACAATTAGACCTCAACTGCTGGCCACAGTCCGCAGTTTTTCCTCTCCCTGTCCCATGATCAGTTCCTGATCATTTATAAAAAATACTTCCCATTTCCAAGTAAGCCTAGTAGTAAAAAAATACTTATTTTAGTCCGATTGGGATTGTTACTTGGGCTCACAGTTCAGGGTTTATTAATAATGAATCTGCAGCATTTGAAGTCTATCGAGCAAACTGTTCAGAATGCAGCTACATCCAATTCAACTCTGAGCAGTAGCCACAGCCAAATTGTCACACGTCCCAACTGCAGAGATGGTTCATACTTCCTTCACCAGATGAAATAGCTCACTGACAGCACTCCTCATTCAAGTTTTTTATTGAACTATAGAGTCCTCAAACGATTTTCCGTCTTCCTGAACACTACATACCAAGCCCATACTGTCTCGCATCAGTATTTCCTTGCGAACGCCAGTTGCTTTTTTTTTTGCAGTCAACAGTGACTGGGAAAAAACATTTTCAAATATTTTTTTTATCTGAACTTGTTTCTGGGAACTTCTTGGCAAACTTTCAATTCATATTTTGAGCAAAATATTAAGCTCTATGCCAAGTCATGACTTAGAATTTGTAGGAACATATGAAAACTTAAGTTACTGGTCAATACTGTTACCTCAACCAGCAATTTGCAATGAGCTTCAGAAAGTGGCTAATATATTGGGGTTGTAATCGCATCAAGTAAATTACCATTAATGTAGCTTGGGATATTATAATTATATTTTGAATTTAGCTCGTACCTTTCTCACCGTCTTCACTTTGTCTCGATGAATGGCTTCTCCTCCACCCCCCATACTGTCTCATGTGGTGTCCCTTAGGGCTGTGTCCTCGGTCCCCTCCTCTTCACCCTCTATATGCTCCCCCTGGTGACATCATCCGCAGACATGGAGTTAACTTCCACATGTAGGCGGATGACACCCAACTCTACCTTTCCTCCTCTACCCTCAACTCCACGACCACCGATGTCCTGACAGCTGCCTGTCCGACATCGAGTCTTGGACGAGAGACAACTTTCTTCAGCTCAACGTGCGAAAAACCGAGGCCCTCCTGATTGGCTCACGTCAGCGCCTCCGCACCTCAGGCGCTGACACCATCAGCATCCAAGGCTGCTCTCTCCACCTCTCAAAGCCAGTCAGGAACCTCGGCGTTTTGTTCGACCCTGAGCTGTCCTTTCTCCCTCACATCCGCACCACAACTGGCACCGCCTTCCATCACCTCCGGAACATCGCCAGACTACGGCACTACCTCACCCCTCACGCTGCTGAAACCCTGGTCCACGCCTTTGTCACCTCAAGGCTGGACTATGGGAACTCTCTCCTCGCCGGCCTTCCCGCCACCTCCCTCCACAAGCTGCAGGTCATTCAGAACTCTGCAGCTCGTGTACTGTCCCGCACCAGGCTTCGCGACCACATCACTCCCACCCTCGCTCGCCTCCACTGGCTCCCCATCCCCCAGAGGATTGATTTCAAGATCCTCATCCTCACCTACAAGGCCATTCACGGCCTTGCTCCCTCCTACCTCTCCAACCTACTATCCCCCTACCTACCTGCCCGTACCCTCCGTTCCTCTGGCTCCGGTCTGCTCCACGTCCCCCGCCCCAACCGCCCTACCATCGGTGGTCGGGCCTTCAGCCTCTCAGCCCCGAGGCTCTGGAACTCTATCCCCCAGTGCCTTCGCCGCTTCCTCCCTTTCCTCCTTCAAGGCCGGTCTCAAAACCTTTCTCTTTGACCGAGCCTTCAGCTCCCCTCTCGACTCTCTTCCCCCTCCTCGCTCCCTTCCCTCCCCTCACCCTGACCATTTCCCCCCTCCTCGCTCCCTCCCTTCCCTCCCCTCACCCTGACCATTTCCCGCTGCTCGGGTCATGACCCAACTGTGCAGCGCCTTGGGACGTCCTCCTGACGTGAAAGGCGCTTTATAAATGGAATCTTGTTGTTGTTGTTGTTGAAGTTTAACTTGCAGTATTTCCTAAGGGATTCCTTGAATTCCCATCAACCTGCGGTAACTCCACTTTGGAAATGCCATTCGGCGAGGGTTCATTGTTGTATTAAGGAATCCATCCAGTCATTTACCCTCTGGGTAAAGAAAATCCTTTCTGTCCTGAAATTTCCCTTTGCGACTCTAAAAATCTATGTTCTCTTGTTCTACTGTCTTGGTGTATCCTAAAGTATGCTGGGTTTACTTTTTCAATCCCATTTAAAAGATTATACACTTCTGAGTCGTCTTCTCTCAAGACTGAGACTACCTGGGATCTGGAAGAACACTGTTTTCAATTCTGATGTCTTGTAAAGCGGGGTCAGGCATTCATCTTTCAGATAGCAGACGGGAGATTAATAATAATCCTTGTGTCTACTATACAACACCTCTCACATCTGGAGGACGTCTCAAAGGAATTAACAGGAATCTATTGTGAAGTGGAGTGACTATATATTTGGCAAATGAACGCAGCAGCCAGTTAGTACATAGCAAAGTCCCACAGACAGCCATGAAGTGAATCACCATAGCGGGATAGTGGTTTTGTTAAACGTAAACTCAGAAAGTAACTTTTCTGTTAACAGGCCATAAATCACAATCTAGCTTCATTGACATTGAAGTTGAAGACAGCAGAGTCTGACAAAGCTTGCATGCATGGACTCAAAATATTGAAAAGTAAAATTATGAATGGAAATGTTAAATGAGTTTCCTGATACCACACAACAATTTGATGGAACAAAATCAAATAACATCTTAACAGTGCAGATAAGAAATAACCTCAAAACTGAAAGAAGATGTATTGAAAGTTAAGAAGGCAAGAAGTGTTTTCTTGTGTAGAAAATAAAGGAATGTTATGGGATCCCTTATCAAAAGAGAAGGCTAGAATTCTTGAGTGATAGACTTGTTGTAATCTGGAAAACTGGTGAGAAGGGAACTCAATTCAGCACAAAATTATCTTATATTTTGGTAGCAGCTTTACAAAGCTTAGAGAAAATATGACAGGATGAGTACTCACCCAGTAAACCCTATAAAACAGTAAATTTCTGTTCAGTGAAACCGCTTTACATCCTAAATCACGCAACGTGCATCGAGGATTGATAGTTTACCAATAATAAACCCTAAAATTTGTACCAACCACATAACTCGAGTGCTTGTTTGCCAACTTTCACACTCCCCAAATCTTTCATCTCTATTTCAAATTCAGTGTCTTGAACACGGGTTTAAGTTATCTGATCCAATTTTAAATGTGGTCTGCCCCTGATATGCGGGCTATTTATAAAGCACAGATTCATTTTTTTTAATACAAAATAATTCACCTTAATCTTTACTTTCTTTGCACTGATGTTAGCACAGATGTAGTCAGATGTTACAGAATCACATGGCTTAGCGATATACATAAAACAGTCCTGCAGGGGTGGAAAAGATACGAAAATGATCGCCATTTTAATCATTAGTAAGTACATTCAAATAAATACATTCCCTATCTAAAAAATGACCTCAGCCATCTGCTGTTGGGAGTCTTGGTGAAGGCATAAGACAAAGGTAAACTAGTAGGGATTCTCCCTGCTGCTTGCAAGATGCTTTGTTCAGTAATCTTACAGCAGTGAGATTATGACTGTCATAGCCAGATGGTGCTCAGACACAGTGCAACAAAAAGGGTATTAGAAACTAATAACAGTGAGGCTGCAGCTCAGAATAGATTTACATGACCAATTAGAGGCAACCATTCTCTATCATTGACTCAATTTATCAGAGGGAATTCTATCAGTATATAATGTGGATAGATAATCCAAATGTAACAGTTCCCAAAGCATACTTTATATTCTGGATTGAGTCTCCAAATCAAATATATAAGGGTGCATTAAAATTATCACTACAGCTAATCATTTGAATATTTAACTAATAAATTTCACATCTATTTAACTTATAATACAATTTGTCATAACTGATTATTTAACTTATTATACAACTATTTAATACTTGTGTGCACCTTACTGTTATAGACTGATATGGTGGTGTGCCTTTGTTCACATTATTTGTGCCTACGGTGTTCTTGGGCTTAAATACCTAACATAGATATATCTTTAAATCTTCTTAGTGCAATTTTTTAATGTATTTTAAATATAACAGCTTTTTTAAGGGGTAATTATTTTCTTTTTTAATTGGAGCTCACATTCTAGACTGACACTCCATTGCAGTGCCTGTGAGTACTGCATTGACATAGATCCCATCCTTCAGATGAGATGTGAAACCAAGGTCCCACCTGCCTGTTCAGGTGGACATTAAAGAACACATGGCACTAGTTTTTCGCCCACAAAATACAGTCAAACCACTTTACAATACGTCCTGTGAAATGCTTTGAGACATCTTGATGACATGATAAGGTGCTATATGAAATGTAAGGATTATTATTGTAATCCCTCAGATTTAAAAAAAAATGATCATTCACTTCATAGCCGTTTGTGAAATATTTCTGTGGACAAATTGGTTGCTGTGTGCTGTTACAAAATATTGTTGCATTTTCTATTTCAATTCCATTAAAGATCTAGGTAACTACAGATTTTCGCCCACAAATATCCAGTCAATTCACTTTACAGTATATTCTGTGAAGCACTTTGAGATGTCTAGAAGATGTGAAATGCGCTATATCAAATACAAAGATTATTAATATTGTCCAAAGTATAGGAGCAAATTTGTATTTTTGTAATGCTGTATTACATCAAAAAGTCTCAAAGTGTTTCACAGTCA